ACGTGTGCTCATCGTGAGAAACGCACCACTACTACTTACTTCATGTAAACAGTTAAAGTCAGTCGCGGCGCCGACATTGGCGCGCGACTGACTTGTCTACTGACCCTGTGTAAATCAGCCATAACGTCAGAAAAAATTTAATCTTTGCGAAATATTACTAAAACTTTTTTAACATCTTTACAACATAAACAATTTAGTGTAAATAAATAAATTATAAAAACATACTTTATTTAAATGATTTAATTTGTCTTAACCTAAGATAAAACATATGTAAATCGAAAAAAGGCGTAAAATAAGTTATATTAGTTGTCATATTAATTATTTTAGTCTAAACTCTAAATCATTTATGCTGTTGCATGTAGTTGCCGCATACGATGGAAATCCCCTTAAATTGATTTGCTCTATATAAAAGTTTCTTCATCATTTTCTTTCTGCCTCGTAATTAGCTCTGCTTATATGTATTAATTATTGTGACTCTTTTTTTTTTTTTTTATAGAACGGAGGGCAAACGGGCAGGAAGCTCACCTGATGTTAAGTGATACCGCCGCCCATGGACACTCTATGCCAGAGGGCTCGCGAGTGCGTTGCCGGCCTTTTAAGAATTGGTACGCTCTTTTCTTGAAGGACCCTAAGTCGAATTGGTTCGGGAATACTTCAGTGGGCAGCTGGTTCCACATAGTGGTGGTGCGCGGCAAAAACTGCCTTGAAAAACGCTCAGTTGTGGAACGTCGGACGTCGAGGTGATACGGGTGGTACGATTTCGTATTCTGCCTCCACGTCCGATGATGAAACTCAGCTGCAGGTATTAATCCGAACCACTCCTCTGAACACTCTCCATGGTAAATGCGGTAGAAGATTCTGAGATTAAGAGGTCTGTTAACCTTATGATTGTATTTTAAATTTTTGTTTCTACATATTTTTATTTATTATTATTGTTATTTTATGTTTAGATTTTACTTTATTTTATTTTAATTATAGTAACGTGTTATTTTGAGATTTTTTTTTAATTAATAATTTTTGCATTACTGGTACTCTACCCTCTGTAGGTGTTTCTTTTTCATTGTTTCACTTTAGGGTTGCCTGGAAGAAATCGCTTGTTAGCGATAAGGCTGCCCGTTGCCTTATAACTTTTGTAACCTGCTTTTTATTTTTGTTTTTGTTATGTGTATGTTTTGATTAAGGTAATAAAGTATAAATAAATAAATAGAAGTATAATATCTAGTACTAAGCGAATTATATGAATACAGCAGATGATAAAATGCATTTAGCATCAATAATTTCAAATCAAATCAAAAATCATTTATTCATGTAGGTAACAGAATGTACACTTATGAACATCAATAAAAAGAATTATTCATTAAATTCTTCTAATTTTACATTTAGTGCCAGTTCTCAAATCAAGGGCGTAGAACGAAATAGAAGAACTGCCAATAAAGTCTCCGCCACTCTTTAATCGCCAAGTTTTTGTTTTACACAACGTTTGTAAGGAGCAGTAACCATTACACCATGTTCCACATGACATCTTAAGTGATAAATAATAATAAAATAAATTAAAAACAAACATTTGTCCTCTATCAGCAGGAGGCATGGTGAAATAGGAGCACGCATTTACGTTCTCGTGCGAACAACACGCAAATACATAGTCGAAACAATTAACATCACCGCATACACGAATTCAAGTACGACCAGTCACCACAAGTAGCACCCGTTCACGAGTATGACGCATGACCAGCCATGGCACCCTGGCCATATTTTAGGGAGAGAGACAACCGACATATCGACGCCGCCACAAGCAATGACATTTAAGCGAGCATGACGATCCTTGAAATGTGGTTTCGTTCTTTTATTCCCATAGTTATCAATATACCGTCACATACATATTATAAAAGTAAAATATTTGCCCAAGGCGCAACAGACAGCCCCATTTGCAGAGGCTGTTTCTAGGAATAATTTTAATATAAGTATTTTCATTACGCTCATTCACTTAAAGTGCTAAATCGATTGTTATACAGTTTGGTTTAGACAAATAGAACCTCGGAGACTTCGAAATCGGGGTAACTGGTATGCATGAGCTGTTTTACATAAGTGACCTACCTAATAATACGTTTACATAATATATGTAATTGTAATGAACAAGTGCCTACACTAAAAAATGTGTGTGGGAGAAATATATTTAATTGGATAAATCTCATTTTAATTAAACTTTCTGAAACGATATTGTGATTTACATAAAGGACAAAATTGCTTTTACAAAAAGTAAATACGTAAAAGAATTTTTGTTATTCTATGATTAAATTATAAAATAAGAGCACAAATTGATTTGGTTTGCAATAAATAGTGAATTTGTTTTATATTAACGTGAAATGGAGTTTGTTATGCATATGTCAACAGAACTGATTATTTTTGTGTGTTGATATATATAGGAAATGTAAGTTACTTTTTAACCGAATAAGCGAGTCAAACATATTTCAAATAGAAATCGTATCTTTTGTGCTTGCACCTTTTGTTGGCCCTTGTGGACAAGTAAATTAAAAGAGTATTATAATACGTTTCAACATTCTGAATAGATAATACTTCAGTGTCAGGCCATGTTTAAAGCACTAGTCATATTTTTATTTTTGCTATGGGAGGCAAGAGGTAAGTATTTAAATTGGGTATTTTGTGTATTTCATTAATTTATTTAATCAGGATACACTTCGTTTATTGAAAAATGTGAAGTAATAGAGTGCAGAGTTAGAGAAATAACCTCGGGAACGGGTTATTGCACCGGGAGAAGGGTTCGTCATGTCTCGACGTCGGAAAAAGAATAAATTGAATAATTATTAATGGACGACCTCTCTTTAAAGGAGAAACAAATAATGAACTGGATTCCCGAGTAATTGGTGGGGAGGACGCAGCTGAAGGCTCTGCCCCCTTCATAGCATCGCTCAGACGTTTTATTCGCGGCCAGGGACGCGTGCATGTCTGTGGTGGCTCCATCTTAACTCAGAAATGGATTTTAAGCGCTGCTCATTGCACTTACAGGTATCAAATAAAAACGAATTATTTTAGTAAAGGGAACTGAGAACTTCCCTTAAAGCTATACAACTAGCTAGGCCCTTTAATAGAATGGCTTATCGAACTTTGAGGGCTGTTAAGTGAGGCTTGAGCGGGCTTAAAAATAAATAACCTTTAATATAATATTATGGAATAAACCGTATGAAATATGCTCAAATGTATTTCGTGGGCTATTTTGTGTTAACAGACAATTCTAGCATCGCTCAGTGTTAAGTGGATTTTTTGACCTCCCATACTCAATTCGATACACGAGATATGTTCTTCGACAATGTTTGATTTATAATAATAATAAAGCCCGTTCAATTTCCCATCTAGTATTCCATCAAGTATAAAATACAGTTTTGTTTTGATCATTGATTGAATTTTTCAACATTGATCGAGATTTTCCAAATATCCATGGCTTTCTTTTTCCATTCGCTTTCTGTTAACGCTTCTATTTCTTCTATCTGCCTTTTTTGGGGCACCCTCTTCTCCTCCTTTCCCTTGGTAATTTCCATAGAGCCTTTCAAGTTCATCTGTGCATCTTTCTATATGCCCATTGCAATATTTGTTTAAGGGACTAATGGCATTTTATACTTTTTTTTTGTTATAAATGTTTGATTTAGCATCTTCAATAACGAAATTTTCTGTTTCCTGACTTTATATAAGAATCACATTTGAGAATAGTAGCGTGACTAATATTGTCTTTTCCTTACTCCAGTTTATCTTTGCAAACATAATTTGTTCATGATGGCGTTTAAATAGCACATTTCAATAGTTAACACAAAATTTAATTAGTTGGCAATATCTTTTTATTCTAATATTATATTATTTGTCAAACCTCTATATCCCTGTTGCTTATCTTCAACTTCGAGTTATGCAAATAAATTAGCGTTCATATCCGTTTAAGAAGTTTTATTGAAATGTGTATGGACTATTCATCGTCCGCGTAGCAATATGCTTAGACCCGAAATACATATATATATAATGGTATCGATCGCTTATACGAGTACTGGGGATAAATAAGGCGCAACTGCGTTTCTCTGTGAATACAAAAGATTTATTTACTAAAGAAATATCTATTAATTTACATTTAATGAAAAATACATATTTACAAATTATTCACTCACCTGTGAATACAAAAGAAACAACATTTAAAGCCTCTATTTTAGGTTTTATATAATAAAATAATGTAATGAAAAAAATTAAAACATCTATTATGTCAAGTGACAAATTAAACATCGTCGATCAGACGGCAAAGAAGAAAAATAAATTATAAAAAGAGTTTGTATAGGAAAATATGTTTTCCTTACATCTCCCCCCCCTACAGAGAGTAACAATTACATGTAACTGTTACTCATCGACAATTACAGGGGATAACTTTGTAATGTGGTAGTAATTTGATTCCGCTTTTTTGCGTCCGGTATCAACTTCAAATATTGAATTGGAAATCCTCTTCAGTATTTTGTATGGACCAATCCTCAATTCATCCATTTTCTTCCTATTTAGTCGATTCCCATTTTCCACGTAGACTCTATCTCCCACTTCCAATTTATAATCTTCCCTGTGCCGGTCGTATAATTTTTTATTATAATTGTGAGATTTTATTGTGTTCTCCAGAGCTAGTTCCCTATCTCTTTTCAAATCTACTTCTGTGCATCTTGTTTTCAATTCGCATGGTAGGATATTCACATTCTCGCCTTCCAAAAGGTATTTTGGAGCAAATTTCGTAACTGTGTGTTCCGTTTCGTTATATTTTTCCACACATTTCTGTGCAATAGTAGTCCATGCTATCTTTTTATCACTTTCATTTATTTTACATCTTATCTTATTGACTAAAGTTTGATTAAGCCTTTCATTAAGTCCATTTGAAGGTGAATCTACAGCAGTGAAAACCATTCGTATATTTTCATTTATTAGGAATTCTTTAAATGCTTTAGAATTTATGCCAGGGTATTGATCGGTTAGTACCATATCAATATTATAGCTCTCACATTTTTAATTAGTTTAATAAAATCACTGGAGCTTTGATTTCTTGATGTTAAAATATATGCATATCTTGTAAAATGATCGACCAAAAGGTGTAAGTATTTTTTTGTCGACCGTGATCCTCCAAAGCCTCCAATGGTATCAATAGAAATAATTTCAAACGGGCGTGTTGGTGGACCCAGATGTGACATTAAGCCATATTTCGACTTCCGCCTTGATTTGTTTTTTATACAAATTTCACATTCATCACAAAATTTTTTAATGTTTGCTATGATATTCTTTGCTGTGTAGAATGGTGTTATTTTACTTATCATCTGAGTTCTACCAATGTGGCAGTAAGTGTCGTGGACATCTTTTATAAGAGTCTTGCTAAGTTCTTCAGATAGTATAATTTTTTTACTTTTTGAATTCTTTTTATGGTAAATTTCATTTTCAAATATAAGTTTTTCTTTTTCTATATCTAGATTTATGTTTTGGTCATTCTTTATATCTTCTAGGTTTATGATATTGACTACTTTTAAAAAATCATCATTATTATCATAAGGTTCTAGAACTGGGTTTCTGCTTAAACAATCTGCTTCTCGATTTAATTTTCCTGGGTTATATTTAATTTTAAAATTATATTGGGATAAATAATATGTCAAATCGCCTAATTCTTCATCGGTTCTAGACTTGATGTTCATATTTTCTAAGGGTTTATGATCGGAGTATACCATAAACTCTTTTCCCATAAGCCAGTGTTGCCAATATTTCACAGCTTCTTTTATTGCTAAACATTCTAAATAAATCGCCTTCTTCTTTTTTTGAACTTCGTTTAATTTTTTTGAAAAGTAAGCAACCGGTCTATTGTCCCCGTTTTTATCTTCTTGTTTTAAAACCGCTCCCACTCCTTTTATACTAGCATCTGTGTAAATTTTTATTGGGAGATCGGGATCATAGATATTCAATATTGGTTCTGAACATAACAATGTTTTTATTTTTTCAAATGATTCCTGACATTCTGTGGACCATATAAATTTCACATCTTTTCTTAATAGATTGTGTAACGGGTCCAGAATAATTGCACTGTGTGGTATGAATTTATGATGAAAATTTACTTTTCCTAGAAATTGTCGTATATTTTTCTTTGTCTTAGGAACGGGAAAGTTTCTGACAGCAGTTAAATAATCTTTCAAAGGTCTGATTGAATTGTTTTCTATTATATGACCTAAATATTTGGCGTGATTATTTGCAAAAGAACATTTTGAAAATTTAAGCCTAAAGCCTTCTGTTAGTATTGCCTCCATTAATCTTGACAGATGTACTAAATGTTCTTGAAAAGTCTTAGAAAAAATTAAAATGTCATCAATAAAATTGACTGCAAAATTAGACAGTTCGTATTTTCTAATGATGTTTCCCAATATTCTTTGGAATATGGCTGGAGCAGTCTTTAACCCAAATGGTAGACATGTCCATTGAAAATGACCTTCTTGTGTAACAAATGCAGTTTTGTATCGATCGGTAATCTTTAAAGGAATTGACCAAAATGCTGAATTAATATCCAAACTAGTAAAATATTTACAATTTACTGTTTTTATCATTAAATCCTCAATCAAAGGAAAAGGTTGTGATTGAGGAACGACAATTTTATTCAGTTCTCTGAAATCTATACACAGTCTTGTTTTTCTTTCATCTTCTTTCTTATATGCCAGAGTTACTGGGGCAGCAAACGGACTGTAAGAATCCTCAATCAAATTATTCTTTAAAAGTTTTAATATTTGATTTTCTATTTCTCTTCTATCTTCAGGTGTGCATCTGTAAGGACGTTTGTAACAATATTTATCTACCATTAAGTCAATATGAGCTTCATAATCTCGTACAGTGCCGATGTCATATTTATCCTTAGCGAAGACTGATTTATATTTTTCTAACAACTTATTAATTTCTGATTGTTGGTATAAATCTAGATGATTTACAAATATTTCAAATCTATTCGAGTCCATGTGTTCATTGAAATTTATATCACATTTATTCGTGTGTTTTATTCCTTTTTTTAATACCTCAGAATATAAAAGAAAAATATATAAAAAATAAAAATATATAGAGTTTGTATAGGAAAATATTAAATATTATGTTTTCCTTACATATACAGGGTGGCCAAAAAGTCGTGGATCAAACGCAAATAGGGGGTAGATGAGGTCATCAGCGGCAAAAAAATTGTTCCACGGGAGGTCTCTAAGGTCAACCCCTGCAGAGTTATGATTTATTTTGGTTTTTATATGAAAATTGACTTTTTTTTACTAATTCTTCTTAAAATTCGAAAATATCTACATCCTGTACCTTTCTCATAATATCCACTAGATTGGTTCTGATCAGTTCTTGCATTAGACATACTATTTATAGTTGTTTACTGAGTGTATTCAATATAATATTAAGTGATACAATATAACATTTTTTCAAATCATAAATTTTTCTTTACTTCGGACCCCACTGTGAAAAAAAATTTCTCTACCGAAAAGTGACCCTGTATTACAAGTTTTGGCGCATTTCATAGGGATTCTGAAAAGGTATTAATAGTATGTCAAACGCAAGAACTCATCAGTACCAATCTAGTGGATATTATGGAAAAGATATAGAATGAAGATATTTTCGAATTTTAATAATACTTAGTTAAAAAAAGTCAATTTTCATATAAAAACCAAAATAAATCATAACTCTGCAGGGGTTGACCTTAGAGACCTCCGTGGAACAATTTTTTGCCGCTGATGACCTCATCTACCCCCTATTTGCGTTTGATCCACGACTTTTTGGCCACCCTGTATATACGAGTACGTAAGGCGGAACGTTGCCTAAAGGGACTCCTTTTAATAATATATTTTTACTATTATTATTACTATTTACCTGGGTTAAATTATTGTAAATACTTTATATTTGAATATAAAGCATTCAGTTTTCTCACTGATTGAACACACTGAATTTATCATAGTGTAATAATTTAAAATGTCATATAGAGTATTTTGTTTTTTTAGAGTCCCAACACACAATATCTTTGTAAGGGTTGGCACAAACAAACGCACTTCTGGTGGGAACTGGTACGGCGTACATTCCATCGTCATTCACGAGAATTTCAATGCAAATACATTGAAGAATGACATCTCACTTCTAAAGATTTTTAGTTCTATAGAGTTTGATACTAACATTCAACCAATAAAGCTACCAACGAGTAATATAGGCCCTGGAGTAATGTGCAAACTTACGGGATGGGGTAAGACTGATGTGCGTATAAGTTTCGTAATTTATATTTTAATTTGAACAAAGAGTGTATAATATTTTTAAAGGTATCGAAATGACGATACGTTTCAATTGATTGTGGTTAGTCAAAGCAATGAAATGGAATTCCGGTTAAAGATCGATCAAACAAAACGTATTCTTATAAGATATGGTTTATTATAAAAAAATGCGTAATTTAATTTATCTTAAATTGGGAGTTAAACAGAGACGTTTAAACAGATTAAGAACACTACTCATATATTTTTCACTGATGAGAGAACTCACTAAAACAATTAAAATAAATATTTAACACAAAACTTCTAAAACAACAAACCAATGTCAGTATTTGTTGGATGATTTCAGTCACAGGCAGCTCCTGAAAACCTTCAAGTGGTCTATAATTTAACTACAATATCTGTGGAAGAGTGCAATAACAGGCTTGATAACGTGTCTGAGAAATTTCTTCCAATCATTGACAAACAGCTTTGCACATTAAATAAGGAAGGAATGGGCTCGTGTCAAGTAAGTAATGACCTCTCAGTAAAAAAGTGATTTAAAATTATTAATTGCGCCATCTATGCATAGCATTAGCTAACTTCGTCTGTTTCTAACACAAGGTCGAATTGAATTTTGTCAATTATTATTTTGTTGTTGGTTTCGTTATTGAGGGCTACAGAGTTAGGGTACAGCGCTTATAGCCATAGCGTGCCGACATAAATGTTTGTAGGTACAGTGCCACATACTTTTCTTGCCTGGCGGCTGAAATTGGTACCACCGTCGCCATTTTGAAATGTCAGACTGATATTGTCAGTTAGCTCTCAAATACAACTGCACATTTACTACAAACTTACTATCTACCAACATCTAAAAAAAATCCAAATAAAATGTTTTTATTTTTATCCTTGCATTATTAAAAGCTTGGCAAAGTTTTCATTATCGATCGGTTCTGATTGCTAGATATCGTAAAAGATATTCTATTAATAGTATAGGTAACAAAACCTATCATATCAGTTATTTCTAAGTATGTGCCACATTTATTTAAGCCTAGAACTATATTATTTTCTAGATACTAGTATACTTACATTGTTTTATTAAGACATTTCAATAAATTATTAAGTTAGCCTGCATGACTTCCTTCACGAAATTATTCCCCTTATAATTGTTAATTTTTATTTACTGGCAATATTAGTATCTATGACAGCGACGCTCTTACCGGCCAAGAAAAGTATGTGGCACTGTACTGCGAGATCAGCGACATGTCACGAATATAGAAACTTCGTCGCATACAAAAATGTTGGGATCATTATTGGAAGTTGCAAAATACCAGAGCAGACCGCATTCTTGATTATGTACCTATATAAATTTAAGTTACGTCTTTAAGCACGGTCCTATATGAATTAAATTTTGTGTTCTCACACGACTACCTTATCATAACGCGTTTATCATGATTGACATTAATGACATTTCACGTGTTGCATCTTTAACTGTCCTTGCAGTAATAGACGAAGACACATCGGTGTAAATTGTGTTTTCAATAGTTTTTCTGGTTTAATCGAGGTTTCTTCTGCAGGGAGACTCTGGTGGACCCCTCATTAGTGATGGTGTACAAGTTGGCATCGTCTCTTGGGGTGTTCCTTGTGCCAAGGGGAGACCTGATGTTTTAACAAGAGTATACTATTACGTGGAATGGATAAATAATTACATTTCAAATGAATAGTGTTGTTGTGTAAATAAAAATTTACGTTACAATTAAAGTTTATTTAACTCAAAATGCTATTGTCTTCCAATACTAATAACAATTGTCCAGTGGCATTACACCTCTTACATTAACTAAGCAATCTCTTCGAAAGTAAATATTTCGATTCATGAAATAAGAAAATATACATTTATAATTTTAATTTTCTTTAATATTACATTATAGAAACGAATTGACATCAGAAAACGAATGAAATATAGCAGTTAATTCATTTGCACCTCTTTAAGCAACTGTGGTGTCGAAGATTCGTGATTCTGCTATTATACTATTTCAGTAAATGGCGATGGTGTAGAGGTAGACGTGCAGCTCGTGGCTTGTGGCGAAAGTAGGTAAATTTGTTTCGATATCATGTATTTCTAGATAAGCAGCGGAAGGAGTTAGGCTATTTTCGGCAACAGGAACCCAGGAAGAGACTCCATGGAAGTATTGTCATCGTTCGTATGTTTTGTGAAGTAGGTAGTTTCCTTCTCGTACTAACACAGAAAAAACGGAACGGAATTTAAAAGGTTACCTACTACCGGTACACAAATATCGCTAAGTTCACTTGTGTGTTTAATTATTTGACATTAGTCGTCAGCGACAGACCGTTGACAAATATTTATTTAATATTTGTGATTTTGGCTCATCACAATACTAACGTCATTTATTGCCACAAAGTTGAATCTTAAATTTGAAATATCTCAAAGTGATCTTTATTTATATATTTATTAACAAAACACTCAGACAATATACAAAGCCAAAACTAATTACCGTGATAAACAAGTTATATGAAACAGAAAACATATGTACATTATACATTTGACAAAAATATTAAAATTAAAGAAAACTGAATTTTATCGGCAATTAATACTTAATATTTCAAAGTAAAACTAAAGAGAGCGTTAATCAATTCCGTTATTGAATCTAACAATTTAGAAAAGTGCCCTCTGTGTTTTAATTGTTTCACTAAGTTGTTCTACAGACCAATGGTCCTTACTGAACTTCAAGATAAACACATTCGGTCTTACTAATAAAAAATCACTATGCATGAGTTATAACAAGGTGATAGTTATTCAGTGAATAGAGCTTGTACAGGGCATAAACACCTCTTTGACCAATAATCGATGTGTATTGGTTGAATAACTAAACGACCCTTATTTTTTGTTACCCTGGCAACCCGCCGTGTTTGATTGACGTTTGACTTAATAATTCTGATAGAAGTCATAATTCTAATGTAAGTTGTATTTATTTTAGCAACCAAAACAATTATATTCAGACAAAGAGGACTAGAATTTTACATAAAAAGCCACGTTCTGCAGTACAAAAGTTGGGAGAGGTTAGTATCAATGTGATAGAGAAAAGGACTATTTCATTCAAAAGCCCTCAACGATCATACTTAAATTTTTTAGGCATCTCAAATAGTGGAAAGTGCCAAACTCCGCAACACGGCAGTGTTCCAGTGTTTGCAGGAAGAGCATGAAACCAAACTAAGGCAAATGGCTGAAACACATGAGCTCAAACAGAAGCAACTTGCCGAAGCTCACAAATGGGCTAGACAGGAGCATCTTCTAAGGCTCAAACTATTACAGCAGCAATTAAATGAATAATTATATACTTATAAAAAAAATAAAACCCCTGTTTTAAATGAAATATAACTTTTTATTTATTTCACGTCTAACTATCCACACCTATGTAAATAAAACAGCTTTAAAAATATGTTTCAATAAAAGCAGCTCTAGCAGCTTGTCCAGCCTGATTGCTTGGGGGCGTCTAGGTTGGCCTTGGTTCTTCTGGAGCATTCATCCAGGTCTTCTTTCATATCAATAGCAATATTGTGGAGGATTGCCAGTGCTACTATATATAATTTGGCATTTTCTAAAGACACTGAGAAGCCATGAAGAAGACACCTAAATCGAAAACCATCCACCTCTATTACTCTTTTCGACATCAGCTCGCACTGTCACAGATCTTCATAACATACTTCTTTGAAAAGCGGTATTTTGTTTTGAAATCGCCATCCGAAAGTAATAACGGATTGCACCGAGTTTGGTATGTTTTGACTTTCCTTGGAGGCGGCAAATCTTCAATCGTATGTATTAGCTGCATATCAATATTATCTAAATCTTCCATTTGATCTATAAAATCTATTTTCAACAAACACAAATACCTACTAACTTAAATCTTTCCTTGAACTAAACAGTCAAAAAATGCTGTCAAACGCGAAATCAGATCAAATAACGCAATTTATGTCCTATACACCCGTTAAACTAGGCCTCGGCGTTGTATAAGCATTGTACAAGTCTTCATACAAACCAGACACTTGTTATAACAGCCGTATACATCAAACGTGTCAATTCAGGAATTATTAGTAACATTTTTCTTATAACAGGCTTATACGATGTGCATAATTCTTTATTAGTAAGACCGATTGTATTTATATTTATCAGTATGTATTTCAGTTTTGGATTCATTTGAAATGTTGTGGTAAATCTCTCGATATAATTAATGGTCTGAAGTGCTCATCCTTGAACAAACGAATTTCGCCGAAGCAACTTTTTTGATGGAGCAGTAGTATAGATTGTAACTTAGTCAAGTGATAACTTACGAAGATTAAGTTTGTACGCAGACTGAAATGAAGTGTTGTTCCGTCTAGCGCCTAAATAAATGTTGTGTCCTTACATGACACCTAATCAAAACGCTTTTATTTGACGTGTTGCATCTGTTTACTGTACCTAGCAGTCATAGACGAAGACACATCCTTTTGGATGATAATAATAGTCCAGTGGCGTAACAACCCTAAGAGACCTTAGTTTGCATCCGTTTCTTTAATATATTTTATTTCTTATGGCAAAGTCATACTTCTGCGACTGAAAAATGTCGTCGATTGCCATGCCATCACATACCAGTCCTTTCAACAATTACCTTCTCCGTCCGAGCAGGTATTAATTGCGGATATAGAAAGAAAAAATGTAGGTGCCGAGATTTGAACGTACGACCTCAGGGTTAATAGTCGCACTCAAAACTACATTTACCCTTTTGGCACTTTAATAATTTGCATTGAGGAATCTTTTATACACTCAATAATGAGTTTAATAGAAAAATTTATATTTATTCAAAATATTTTATTTCCTTAATACTATTTAGCTTATAAATAAATCTGGAGAACATTGAGTATTTCTTTGAAGTATCATACAAATTAAATCCTAAATCTAATGGAACTCCTAATCGTTAAATTAAAAGTGCCTCTTCTAATGAGGCAAAATATATAATTATCTTACATTATAAAATGTTACTACGAAATTTAATGCATGACAACTAATGACGAAACTTTGGAACCAACGGTAAACTTATTAAAAGACACCATTAATTACTCTGAAGTTTGTTTATTGAAAATGTGCTTTATTCTTTGAATTCTAAGAAAATTTCTGCTGAGTTTGCGCAAGAGAAGTCACGAAACCCAAATTAAAACATAAAATATCCTTTTGAAACTTTACTAGGCTTCCCTGAACTTTCACATTCTAAAAGAAATGTTCTCTATTGATATTTGTTTCAGTAATATTTTTCTGAAACGTGGGTTACCAACCTGTTGGTAGTGGCACGTGACTTGGCAATCGGCAGATTTAACGACGATCAGTATTTCAACTGCGCGTGAGTGAGTTTATACAATATGGGGTTTACTTATTCGTCATATCAATGCCTATCCTAGGTCCGAGGTCGCGTACGTTATTAAATAAAAACGATATATTTTTTTAAATCAAGATTATTTTCAAGCGATTTCATTTATACACGCTTAGATTAACACTGCTTTCAATATTATTGCAGCTAATAAACCACTAGGTACGTGAACTTTATATTAAAAAATATAAATATTGCAAAATATCAACTTCACAATAATGGCGATATTATGGCAACAAGCTCTTATAAATATCCATCAACTTGAAGTAGGAGTCTCTTTCTGAGCACGATTGCTGGGAACACGAAAGGATGAGTGGTAAATTTAATGTGAAACATTCCCACAAAGCATAGTCAGAGAAATCGGTGATTTTTGCGCTAATGCCAAACAGGCCTTGAAATATAAACTTAAACACCTAAGCCCTAAGGGGTACTCTTACGAGTCTTTCAAACATCAACTTCTAAATAGATTTATTTTGACCAGATTCAAAAATACAAAATAAAAACTTTAATTGTCAGGTAATTGTAAAGAAAAATACATGCAACCACGTTACTTAACTAGACTGTATTCAGGTGAACGAACGCGAAACGCCTTACATACGTAAATCCCAAGGTCTAGGGAGTTAAAAGCATTCTTTTATTTATTGAATGGTAGAGGCTGTTTTGTTTTGTATTCACCACATTATACATAATGCTATATCTACAGTATATCTTACAAGCTATCTTCGCTAATATACAATTATGTTAAACCTATGTTAGATACCAAAAATAAAAATATTCAAAGCGGATTAGCCTAATCAAATAGGCAATATGTCAAGCTCTGGATAAGTACCTAGTGATTTGCTGTTTTAAAAGAGTACCGAGAGTTTTTTACGCCGGCTTTTTCTCTCGGCCTACACCATCTGTCTTCTTTGCCGATGAGTAGGGATGCCTTCAAATTTAATGACGTGGAATAAGTGATACATGTATCTTATGTTCCATAATAAACATATTTTATTTTATTTTTTTTTGTTTATTCTGTTATATTTGCTAAGAATTAGAATGAGAGCATAAGAAGTTAAGAGGCTTAATTACTAAATTGAATGCTAACAACAACGTGCGACCCTCATCTCTGAGTAAGTAGGTTCGATCCCCGGCTGTGCACCAATGGACTTTCAGTCTATATGCGCACCTAACACTCGCTCGTACGGTGAAGGAAAACATCGCGAGGAAACCGGTATGTCTTACACCCAAAAAGTCGACGGTGGGACGTGTGTGTCAGGCACAGAAAGTTGATCACCTACTTGCCACTTGAAATGATCACGCAACAGATAGAGAACAGACCCAGACCTAACAGGATGTAGCGCTATGGGTATAAAACTTAGTTATACCCAAATATAATTAATGCAAATGATGATTGGTAAACTGCCAGTTCTCTGAGGAGTGTTGTGTGTACCATAATACCTAACTCTATTATTCCGAGTTGAGACTTGGTGCTAAGTGACTCCTATATATCAAAACGTATTAGATTTTATACAAAAATCGATTCAGTGTGACAGATAGAAACCGGTTCATCTAATTGTATTAATCTATCTATCTCTATAAATAATTTATTAAAGAAATGAACGCAATCATTTTTTATTTTTGTATGTAATCGATAATTATTATTAAGGTAATTTTTGTGTTCTAACACTATTTATGCAGTGATTCTTCTTTGCTTAAGCATACACATGGTTTGAAGATTAAAATTTAATATATTAACTACATTATAATTAATTATTATACTACTGCATAATTTATTATTATATTCTGAAATGAACTTTGAGATGTATTTTCTGCCCAAAATTAACAAATTTGTAATAAAATAAAAATAAGTTCTTAATAATCTTGTTTATTAATAATCAAAACTACTTATGGTTTTCTTTTAAATTGTTTTAAAGTTATTGTAAATTTCATGGAAAATATAAATATGGAATCTTTTATGAATAAGTAAGTTATCAAAATGTTTTTTATTAAATATACGTATATATGATATAATTTACTTAAATGTAAGTCGTTTAAGATTAAAGATAAAGAGCAGTATAAAATGTCCATTAAATAAAACAATACGAAGATTATATTATATTTTGATAAATAATAAACTAATAATCACAACTCAATATTTTTTCCACAACTGAGCGTTTTTTTTAAGGAAGATTTTGCCGCGCACCATCACTATGTGGAACCATAAGTAAGTTTTTATTTGTACTACTATAGATGCAATGATTCAACTTTTCCATTTTAATATTCATAAATCTGAGGCTGAATGGTAATGACATAACCTGAATTGCATCCAGGTTTCATTATTAATTGTATTTACTAACATTGTTAAAGTGCAGCAACTCAGCAAATGCATATTTCAAATCTCATCTGTTTGTTGTCAGTGTCGAAAAATAATAATTCATCCTCATAACATTGTACTTATACAATTAATAAATGTTCTAAAAACATTTTTGAGAAGGTTTTTTAATAAATCCTTATTCAGTAAGCAAAATTGATTTAATTAAATTTCAATAACTTTACCTTATTTCGTTTAAAATAACTTCGCGACAAAATAATAGTCTCTAACTAACGAACTACACGCGTATTCCTACGTCACGTCCTAAATGACTATTGTATGTTCATGTTGATGGTGAAACTGCGGCTGTTAACTTTTTTTATAAAGAAATAATGTTAGAATATTATCAGTAATGAAAATAATTGTTTATGATGCATGTTTTGCATCTTGACATACAAAATTTGAAATGAAATAGAAAATAGAAAGCTTTAATAAAGAGAAATTTAAGAGTTTTCACAAAACATAGTATTGACAAAGGATCTTTGATGAAGCCTCGAGGCTTACACTGTCACAAAAATAGTGTGTAATTTTTCTCATCGTTCAAACTTTTTACGAATGCAGATTTCAGGAGCCCACGAACAAAGGCTATTCAACTTCTTGACACCACGGGCCTAGTGACGGGCCATTAAAATTAGCGAATTAGTGTTAGTGCACGTTAGTATTAAGTGCTAAACAGTGAGTGAAAAAATAGAACACAAGAACATAGTGTCTTCTTTAATAGAGACTGTACGATAAGTAGTGTTAATGGATATTTTCTAATGTTAAATATATTATTTTATAGTAAATTAGGTTTGACTTAAATTACCTATTAGTCTTAAGTTAGGCTAGATCGTAATGTTTATGGTCTCAGGAATAATATGATAATACTAATTATTTATGAATTAGTTCAAAAAGCTGCTCTTCCGTCGTTTTAGTACTTTTAAATTACTATATACAAGTCGTCGGAAATATCTGCGAACCTGGCTTAATGACTCATACAAACTGGAGAGATAGCAAAAAATTGAAGATGTAAAAATAAAATATTTTATTTGTGTACTTATTTATGAATGTATCCATCTTACATACAGCACTAAATAGGTAGTTTATGTAATATTTCACCAAAGAGAAACAATAAACACTAAAATGCGATTACGAAAGCAAGAATAATACACGTGCGGCGTCGGCGATTGGTTGGCAACGGTATGATAGGCGAAAACGGGGCGGGGTGGGGGGAGGGGAAGCGATTCAGGAGGTTGAGAGAGGCATTGATACATCAAAAATTATATGATAATTAAAATTCAGCTACTAAATATACTATGTAGAATATATAATTTGAGGTTAAAAATAGAACTCCACTTGTTCATTGAAAATAGTAGATAGAGAAAATAAGCTGTGAAATTCTTCCTAAATCTTGTACTTGTTGCATACACCCATTATGGGTGTGTTGGTGTTGGTTGGTTATGGCCGGGCCATATCTGTAATCTGGCTCATATAATCTATCAGATGCTTTTAAGACGAGGAACAGGCTGCACGTCTCGCAGCCGCACCTACAATACAACCTTCAAGTTCGAAACTCCGCGGAAATCGAACTGTCCGTTTTTAAAATTATTGTGTTTTGTTTATAATGTGTTTGTAGATTTTGTGACCTGCATTCTCGGAGGCTGTTTGTTGAAAAGCTTTAGAGGTAATTTCAATTTTAAATACGATTTTGGGTCAACTAGATTTTAGTTTTATTACATATCCATAAAAATACTTCGGGTGGAAATTGAAATACACAAATCGTCAATCTTGTGTATATGTACGCAATATATACTTAGTTCTAGAGATCCTGATAACTTAATTTTTAAAATGATAAGCTATTATGGAGAGAGTTATTTAATTTTTTTTATTGAAGTGAAAACTTCTTTAGCGGCGTTGTACACTTTTTAATACTAATTTTAATTATTTTTGTAGGTTTCGTAAGACAGATGGAGAGTAGACAGCTGGCGCGGCGTAATTAATGTAGGCCTAATATAAATTGTCATGTTTGCGTACGATTGCGCAATAAATAAATATTGTATTCTACCACATAAATGATAGTACATTTATACTGATAATTAAAGCAATTCTTGCAAAATTATTCCCTAAATATTCCAAAATATCTAAAAATGCACAACGTTAATATTCAAGTTTTCACTTCTGCCGGCACTCCCTGAGTGCAACCCGTCGTTTTTTTAAATAAAGATACAGGTGTAACAACTTATAGTTGTTTAATCGTCATAATTTTGGTTACTTGGTAAGTTCTATTAGTCTGTGGTTAAAAATTGTAACTAAATATTTAATTTATTTATATATATAACTTTTAAACTAGTTTGTGGTCAGTTTAATACTTAACTTCTATAAGAATTTGTAGGAGAAGAGGTAGGAAATGTGTTTCCCAATGTGAATAAATGATCAATCCAACCCCTAACTGGCCAGCCCAATTATAGTAGGAAAATATTTCAGGATGGTCTTCCAGTACTTAGATGGAATAATACTTTTAAGATAAAGGGAACTCTGTTAAAATAAAACTCACATATTCCAGGAAGCGCAATTTGTTGTCAGTATTTTTTTATAATAACTGTATTTTTTTTGTTACAGGTTGGCCGTAAGATGACTTCAGACAACGCTTTGATCTCCGAAAGGTACGCTGTCTAATTTTCTTAGACTTTATTTACTTATACATATAATAATTAACATGGTGAAAACGTAAAAAAACATAATGCAACCGACCGCCTTATTGCTATTAAGCATTTTTTTCCAGGGAAATAAAAGAAAACAAATAAAAAATAATTGCCAAAAAGTAAAGAGTGCGATACTTATAAATAATATAATATAGTAATGAAACAAAACTTATTATTAATACAACATATAACATAACAATAAACTTACCAAAAGAGCTATTATGTAAACATTATTAAAACATAATTAAAGGTCGGCAATGCACTCGCGATCCCTCTGGCATTCAGAGTTTCCATAGGTGGTATCATTTAACATCTGGCAAGCCTCCTGACCGTTTTTGTTCTAAAAAAAAATCTCAAGGCCCACAAAGGAGTGGCTTCCTTAGCCCAATAAAATGGACGATTTCTTCAATCGAGTTTTCCAATAAATAATTTATTGTGAAACCTTATTAAGTAAAGTATATATTATTTTATTATTTAATATATTTTATTGAGGGGGCCTCGCTGTACATTAAGTCAAATGTTTAAGAGTGCTAACTTCTACTAAGTTCAATGTACGTGGAAATATAATCATATTTTAGAAGAAGATAACAGTTACTGTGTGGTCCTAGTAATAGTCTTTAAATTGTCTTTGGTATTTTTAGTAATTTCTTTGAAATTATTGGTTCGTGCGATCACACTATATGCCCAATGTCAATGGCATTATACTTTGAATGATGATAATATGACTCTTATGTATATTGTAATTATTATTAACATGATTAAAAATGAAAACACATTTCTGTCTTAATTATTATAATATTGACCATTGACAAAAGATTAATATAGCATCAATACATGGTACAAATATATTATTGTGTATTCAAAGGTTATAAAATATTTATTAAAAATCATTCAAGTTCTTTGTGGCTTTGGACATAAGAACCAATAATCAAGAAACAGATACAGAAATCGAACGATCGGAACGGAACGGAAGGTATAAATCTCATTTGAAATTTCCAATAAGTAAAAAGTATTTTAGACTTCAATTCATAAACAGAGTATCAAAAACTAATAAAACAACATCAAAAAATTAAAATATACATATATAATAAAATAAATAGTTAAATAAAAATTACTAACAAAACAACGGATTGGGCACTTAACACTTAACTTAATATGTCAAGCTCTGAATAAGTGTTTATTCTGTTAAAATCGCGAAGAATTCGAATGAGAGCTGCCCGAACTCCTAGATTGGTTTTTGCAGACGAAATTTGGAAAATTCGGCTGATTTTAAACCTGGTGGAGGTACTGTTCTGTATTTGACCATTTTATAATTACTAGATATTATATATGATATTACTAAGATATTGAAATATCTTAAGGTTTGGTCAAACAGCGGACGGGGGTCCATTTTACCGCGACAGAGCTTTGGTGTAGATTGCTTTATTGGAAGTCCAAAAAGTGCATAACCATGGACACGAAACGTGTATTGCATTGGTTTTGTTGTTTTATTTATGAAACACTCAAAGCCGTTATTTATTTGATCTTAACGTAGACTAATTTTATTAATTCAACTGTTTATAGGATGTTCAAAAAGTCATCGCCCAACTACAAGCTGACAATGTACCTGGCGTCACGTGACTTGGTGGTGGAAAACGGGAGTATCGATAAAATACAGGGTGTTCTACACGTGGAATCGGGCAATTTGGAAAACAAGAAGCTATTTGGACAAGTTACGCTGATCTTTAGGTAATATTAACCAAATTTAACCAAAATATGTCTGTGCAATGCTTTCACTGAAATGAAACACCGATTCGTAATTTATTCTGGAATTATCAGTGGTAGCACGTGCCAGGTGAGACCTTGATCAAGAAATACAAAGATAACGCTTTAGCAGTTAGTTCTATTAAAGACCTCCGGGTATTGAATTTTTCTGTGTAAAGACATTCGTAAAACATATTAATAGGGAGGAACGAAACGCGCAAAAAACTATGCCAGCTCTTGCCTGTAAATATTTAAACAATATAATCGGATAAGAGGCGCGGTCGCCTCTTAAAACTTGTTGGAGTAAAATGTGAAAAATCATCAAATGGTTATCCATTTGATGATTTTGATTTTCAAATGTTATAATTTTGCTCACTTTAACTGCCTACAACTAATTTCGCATTAATAGGGATTTCCTTTGAGGAAGATTAACATAATAATTCCCGGATCTTCATACATTTTAACAGTGAATTTTAAAGGTTCTAAGTCTTCTTGGTTTAAAGCCATACTAAGAATCGTTCGTTAAAAAATAAAGACTTTTAGTAAGCTTCGTTACTTCCTGTAATATTTTATTACTAATAGCATTTATAAGAGATAATTAAAGGGGGCTTAGAGGCCGTTAGTCGACAACTTATTTAATGGTTTAAAAGAATAAAAGCGGACATGATAATGTAGGAATAAGCCAAAACTGAATATTACTGATATATGAAACAATAATTTTAGACAATCTGTTTTTCTTTTTATATTGATACCTATTTCTGACATCGCTGACAACATTGCGACGAGTTTATTTGTGATATATATTTATGTTTCAAACTTATAGCAATACATATCTAAAATTTGATAATTGTATATTTATTTAAGCTGTTATGATAGGCATAACAAGAAAATATATTGTTTGAATATGTTGACAAGATATTTTCTTAACAGCCCTGCGATTCTGTAACTCACTTTTCGAACTCACTCAGCGGTTTTCGCATCGGCGGTCGCTCTCAAATCAGTCGTGAAGCAGTCATTTTATGATTTGGCATTCTTAAAAGGTGGGAGCTTGTAGTTTATTGTTTATCACAATGCCAAATCATAAAATGACTGCTTCACGACTGATTTGAGAGCGACCGCCGATGCGAAAACCGCTGTGTGAGTTCGAAAAGTGAGTTACAGAATCGCAGGGCAGAAATGAATAGAATATATAATAAACGTTAATAGAAAGTCAAAAATTATTTAATTTATAGGTAACACAATGTACACTTATGAACGTCAAAAAAAGAAATGTATACGAAATGCTTCTAACTACATTTAGTGCCAGTTCTCAATTCAAGGGCGTAGAACGGAAGAGAAGAACTGGCAATAAACTCTGCGCCACTCTTTTTAATCGCCATGTTTTTGGGGGGGGGGGGGGGGCTTTTTTTACACACCGTTTGTAAGGAGCTGAACCATTACACCATGTTCCACATGACATCTTAAGTAATTAATAATAATAACATAAATTAAAAACAAAGACTTGTCCTCTATCAGCAAGAGACATGGTGAAATAGGAGCACGCACTTACATTCTCGTCGATCGAAGTACGCTTTTTAGGGACCTGTTAGGGATTTGACTACTCCTCCAAGAGTAGTCAGCGTAAAAAGCTAAAATCAAAAAAAGACCATCAGCTTACAAGTATTGTAACACCAGAAGGGCAACTACAACACTGCCGTGAGTACTTTGAGGAAACCTTTCGTCCCGCAGCATTGTCCACATGTGGTGCCCCGCAAGGCACATCCACTTAAAATCGATGTCTAAACACCTACACGTGATGAAGTAGCGAGAGCAATGAAGACTCTTAAGACTGGAAGCACCAGGTCTTGACTTAATAACTGCAGAAATGTTAAAAGGTGATCTAAGCCCATTGGCTTGCAGCAATTGGAGAGGTATCTTGCTCTCGCCCCCTTTCAAGGTTTTCTGCAGAATTATGTTGGACAGGTTAAACACAGGTCCAAAGTCTCTCGGTTACTTTGTATTAGATGGACTGAAAAGTACGGAGGCTAATCGAATAATCTTTTTTTTTAAATAGAATTTGATTTAATTATTCAATAGTTTTCGAGAGCGATACAACCATTATAACGGTCATACAATTTTTCGATACCATTTATCTTTAGCCTCAAAATAGGCTCAGTTTCGGCCATTACCTCTTCATCAGCGAAACATTTCTGTCCAGCGAGCATTCCCTTGAGATTCTGTTCTCAGGAAAAATTCGTTAGGAGACAAGTTTGGAGAAGGTTTTATTTGATTTTTCGTGGCTTATTGCGAAAATAAGCTAGTAAAAACATTTAATTTGAGAAAATTAAGCGAAGTGTTGCTTTTATAATTAAAGTGCCACCCGCTACAGATTAATCAACTAAGATTATTTCCAATTTAGATGTTATGCGATCGGTTCAATAGGACAATGTTAGATTTTTTATCTTCATACAAAATATCAATACTAAAATACCAATGCGTCCTAATCTAAACGAATAGTTATGTAATTCATAAGAAATAAATTAAAATTTATATCTTTAGTCGGAAAATAAGGGCTGTACTTGAGTATAGAAGTTGTGTAACCCACTAATTAAGGGAACTCAGTACTTGTGAACTAGTCAGTAGAGTAAATAACACTCAGTGAAATGTATTTTAGTGACGCTCATTTACACAATTATGAATAATAAATACATGATTACCGCAAAAACCGAGCAAATAGATAAGCTTCTATACCTAACACATTTTGTAGGATTCATAATAGGAACCAAAAGTTTTTTGCCTACGTTCGTACTGAGTTGAATATTTATTCGTAATCTTACAGCTAACACATGTCCAACAGATTACATTGATAAACAAAATATATGTAACAGAAAACATAAGTACATACATATAACATAGACAAAAAGAAAAGGAAAACTGAAATTAAACCTTAAACAACCGGCAAATAATACTTAATATTAAAAAAAAATTGTTACTGCTATTTTTAATTATGATTTTTTTTATCTACTTCTTAACAATTATTCTTATTTTTAACTTTAATTTTATTTTATTTACATTTTACATTATATAACATTTTATAAATTTTACTTTTATTTTTAATTTTACACCTTTACACAAGACTTCATGACTTATACTGGTAACTTTTATTTTTATTTTTTTCTACAAATTATATATTAATCATTTTTTTTCTTTTTTTGCGACTGAGGCGCAAACTAGCTGCTCTCTGGCATAATGCTGAGCCAGGGCCAATCACAACCACAACCCACACGCATTACACAGTTACACACTTGAAACGAAGCGAATGGGAAAAGGGAATTTTTTTATTTTTTTGTTTTGATATCTCTCATTTTATTTTTTCTTTGATTATTGTTATTTTGTGTGTTCACGTGTGTGTGTTTTTGTTAGTAATAAATGTTATGTCTATCTGTTATGTCTGCTAAACCAAGACAAATTCTTCACTTCTTCATAGATTTCCTCGCATCCTCTTTAGTAAGGTGGAAAATATCAATATCTTCATAATTACTTAAAGATGACATTTTGATTACATGAGCTAATGTTAAGAGCAAATAGAAAAGTGGGTACCATGGGTTCGAAACTCCTCATTTACCATGATTAAAGTGTTCAGAAGAGTTCGGCTGCAGGTATTAATTATCCGAACACCTGCAGCTGAGTTTTACCATCGGACGTCTAGGCAGAATACAAAATAGCATCCGTATCACCTCGACATCCGTCGTACCACATTTGAGCGTTTCTTCAGACAGTTTTTGCCGCGCACCACCACTATGTGGAACCACCACATGCAGTCCACTGAAGTATTTCGGAAACATTTCGACTTAGGGTCCTTCAAGAAAAGAGCGTACAAATTTTTATAAGGCCGGCAATGCACTTGCGAGCCTTCTGGCAGTGTGAGTGTCACTTAACATCAGATGAGCCTCCTACCCGTTTGCCCTGTTATATTTAATTACCATTGTAATTTTATGTATTATATCATATGGGTTAGGTGTGGCTCAAATTTAGACTATAAATCAAATATAATATAGTATAATGAAATGAATGAAAAGAAGTATTTACTTATTATATTCTTTAAATATCATATTTTTATAGATACTTATCGTCGTGGATAATCTGAAATTTAAATGTGACTAGTACAAAAATATGTCTGATAGCTATATATACGTATATATATATATATAGTTCCCCTGTGTTATTAATCAACAGATACGGTCGCGACGACGAAGAAGTAATGGGAATCAAATCTTGCAATGAAGCAGTAATGAGTCTCACTCAGATCTGGCCTGTGCATTGCAATCACGACAAGCAACCGACTTCAGCATTTCAGGTAATTGCTGTCCTTTTTTGTAGTAGAAACCCTGACGCTGACGAATGGGTAACCAACCTAGCCGCTTACGGAACGCAGAGATACGGAACGGAAGGTCGCACTTTTTTAGACCAAATATAAAATGGATACAGAAATTTTGGAGACGATCCGGTTTATTTAGCAAGTTAAAATCGGGAGAGCAAGAGTCGGCGTAGTCCAGCAATGGCAGGAGGAGAGATTGTGCCAGTAAAAAATAAAGAAATAAAATATGTTTATTATGGAACATAAGATACATGTATCACTTATTCCACGTCATTAAATTTGAATTTGTAGGCATCCCTACTCATCGGCAAAGAAGACAGAGGGTGTAGGCCGAGAGAAAAAGCCGGCGTAAAAACTCTTTTAAAATAGCAAATCGTCAAAGAACACTTATTTTAAAACAAATATCGCAAATTAATTAGAAGTAGCCTGTCTAGCACTAGTCCCAGGCCCTTTTATCAACTAGATAATCGTTGACTTTATAGTAAGCCTTTTTACACAGCTTTTGTTTAATACATTTCTAAATTTATTGAAAGGCAGAGATAAAAGAGCCCCTGGGATTTTATTAAAGAAGAGTATCCCTTTTCCTAAAAAAAAATTACTAACTTTAGATAGTCTAGTACGGGGAAATTGCAGCCTGCGTTTGTTCCGTGTATTAACATTGTGCGTATGTTCTATTCTAGTAAACTTATCACTATTTTTGTATACATACATAATATTTTCATAAATATATTGCGAGGGAAAGGTAAGTATGTAGGAAATTCCTTGAATTTATCTCTAAGAGATTCCCTACATTTTAAATTATAGATTGCACGAATAGCCCTCTTCTGCCGGATGAAAATAGTTTCGACATCAGCTGCATGACCCCATAATAATAAGCCATAAGTCATTAAGCTATGAAAGTAACTAAAATAAACAAGTCTAGCTGTATAGACATCAGTTAGTGAGCGAATTTTTTTAACCGCGTAGGCTGCAGAACTAAGACGTCTCTTCGCCAATCCGTTAATATGAGGGGACCACTGAAGTTTTGAATCCATGGTAATTCCGAGAAATACAGTTGTATCATCCAGATTCAATTCCTCACCGTTTATAATTGGTCTAGTATCCATAACCCTTGCATTTTTTGCGCAAAATTTAATGCATTTTGTCTTTTTTGCATTAAGTAGAAGGTTATTCATACTAAACCAATGGACAATCGAAGATAGAGCATTGTTCACGTTATCAAAATTTGTTATTTGTCGTTTGATTTTAAAAATCAAGGACGTGTCATCAGCAAACAAAACTATCTGATGTTTTCTCTCTACCATGAAAGGTAAATCATTTATATAAACAAGAAAGAGGAAAAGGCCAAGAATTGAGCCCTGTGGTACCCCCATATCTACTGCCGACCCAGAGGACCTCTTACCATTCACTTCAACCTTCTGAGTTCTTCCGTGTAAATAGGAAGTCAGAAGATTCAGTGCGGTATTCTTGATGCCATAGTGGCGGAGTTTCCCGATTAAGGTCTCGTGTTGGACACAATCAAATGCTTTGGATAAGTCACAGAAAACACCTAAAGCGTCATGCCACTCCTCCCAAGCCTTAACTATATATCTATATAACTCAACACCGGCATCGCCTGTCGAGCGACCCTTGGTAAAACCAAACTGATTATTATGTAATAATTTTTTTACGTTAAAATGACTTACCAGTTGATTTAATATAATTTTTTCAAATATTTTACTACAAGTAGGTAGTACTGAAATTTGTCTAAAGTTACTGGGGTCGGACATACTACCTGCTTTAAATAATGGAATAACTTTACTATGTTTCATTAGATCGGGAAACTCGCCACTTTTAATATAATTGTTGAAAATTATAGCTAGGGGAGCAATTACATCAATTATGATACTAATTATTTTTACAGAAATACCCCAAAGATCGGTAAAATAAAATAAAAATAAAATATGTTTATTATGGAACATAAGATACATGTATCACTTATTCCACGTCATTCAATTTGAAGGCATCCCTACTCATCGGCAAAGAAGACAGAGGGTGTAGGCCGAGAGAAAAAGCCGGCGTAAAAAACTCTCGGTACTCTTTTAAAACAGCAAATCATCAAACAACACTTATTTAAAACAAATATCGCAAATTAATTAGAAGTAGCCTGTCTAGCACTAGTCCCAGGCCCTTTTATCAACTAGATAATCGTTGACTTTATAGTAAGCCTTTTTACACAGCTTTTCTTTAATACATTTCTTAAATTTATTGAAAGGCAGTGATAAAAGAGCCTCTGGGATTTTATTAAAGAAGACTATCCCTTTTCCCAAAAAAGAATTACTAACTTTAGATAGTCTAGTACGGGGAAATTGCAGCCTGCGTTTGTTCCGTGTATTAACATTGTGCGTATGTTCTATTCTAGTAAACTTATCACTATTTTTGTATACATACATAATATTTTCATAAATATATTGCGAGGGAAAGGTAAGTATATTAATTTCCTTGAATTTATCTCTAAGAGATTCCCTACATTTTAAATTATAGATTGCACGAATAGCCCTCTTCTGCAGGATGAAAATAGTTTCGACATCAGCAGCATGACCCCATAATAATAAGCCATAAGTCATTAAGCTATGAAAGTAACTAAAATAAACAAGTCTAGCTGTATCGACATCAGTTAGTGAGCGAATTTTTTTAACCGCGTAGGCTGCAGAACTAAGTCTCTTCGCCAATCCGTTAATATGAGGGGACCACTGAAGTTTTGAATCCATGGTGATTCCGAGAAATACAGTTGTATCATCCAGATTCAATTCCTCACCGTTTATAATTGGTCTAGTATCCATAACCCTTGCATTTTTTGCACAAAATTTAATGCATTTTGTCTTTTTTGCATTAAGTAGAAGGTTATTCATACTAAACCAATGGACAATCGAAGACAGAGCATTGTTCACATCGTCAAAATTTGTTATTTGTCGTTTGATTTTAAAAATTAAGGACGTGTCATCAGCAAACAAAACTATCTGATGTTTTCTCTCTACCATGAAAGGTAGATCATTTATATAAACAAGAAAGAGGAAAGGGCCAAGAATTGAGCCCTGTGGTACCCCCATATCTACTGCCGACCCAGAGGACCTCTTACCATTCACTTCAACCTTCTGAGTTCTTCCGTGTAAATAGGAAGTCAGAAGATTCAGTGCGGTATTCTTGATGCCATAGTGGCGGAGTCGAAATTGGAATTTCAGAAAAGTACTTATCAAAAACAATCGCTATCTCTTCGTTAGATTTGATTATAGTGTTATCGACACATAGTTCGATGTCTTGATTGCGATCCCTGACTCTTCCAGTTTCACTATCAATTATCTTCCAAGTCATTTTAGTTTTATTGGTACTATTTTTAATCTTGTTTTTGATATTTAAGGACTTGGCCGCGTAACAAACTTTCTTAAATAATTTCGAACATAAAGAATAAATTCTTCATTATGATTGTATGACTTTTCAGCGTAAAGGTCATACAACCGTTGTCTACTTTTATAAATTCCCGCTGTCGCCCAATCACTAAACAATTTACACTGCGAATGAGAGACTTTCTTTGGGGTAAAGATGGTGTTGAACTCTTTATTAATACAATCACTTAGATTGTTGTATTGTGTATCAACGGTAGTACCTACCGGTAATAAAGGTAGGTGTTTACCTATATTATGTCTAAATCTCACCATTCGCTTTTTATTTACTGGAACAAACACACTGCTCTTATTTACTTGTTTCACAACTTTACATTTTGCGCCACTAACTGTCTACAATGATCTGAGCTAAGATCAGTTGTAATTGAGGTTTGCATTGCCTCTGCATCTGTAAATACATTATCTATACATGTTGCAGTGGAGCTTGTAATTCTAGTGGGCTCAAGAAACAAGTTAACAAGATTGTAAGAGAACAAAACAGTAAGGTTTTAGTGCAAGAGGGAAGAATATATTTAACAATTTGCGGCTAACTTCTTTAACATGCTCCCAGGATAAATTTTGATCAAGTAAAACCCCCAAATGTTTTGCTGTACGGCTAATATTTAAAGTTACACCGTCGATATGTACAGGAAGTATCCTGGTCCAATCAATTCTCGTCGTGAAATAAGGGCTGCCAATAATTATATCTTTACTCTTATTGGGATGGATTAGTAGACCAAAATTTTTACTCCAGTCAACTATCTTTGCCAGCTCATAGTTAGTAGATTGTATGGCTTGCGGGAGATCATTGAAAAGTGCCTTGATTAAGGAACTCAGACAAGGTTAAGCCTGTGTTTTTAAGGCTAGTTTTGGCAGCCCATATCCTTAACTTATCGGCATGCTCACGAAACTTTATTAATATAGGCCTATGCTTCTCATTGGATCTTATTCCCACTCGATGACAACGGGTAAGGCACTGCTCCGTTACATTAGGAAACTTTAACAGGATGGATCATATTCGTAATGGAGCCCGCACTTTCATCCTTCGCTTCACTCCATGCAGCAACTGACACTTTCGCATACTGCGCATCTCCTGCTCATCCTGCACTCTAAATAAAATCGCCATTTGATCCTGTAGATTCTCTAGGCAGAAGAGAACAGAACTTTTAAATGTTTTAAACTCCCTAGCAAGTGGAGTTTGTTCCAGCGAGGTAGACCTATTCTGTGTTGCAATAAGGCGCAGCTGAAACTCTTCCATTTTGGAAGACACCATCTCGGATACATACCTTAAGTACTTTTTAACATTCTCTATAATAAGGTGACCGTGAAAAATTAATAGTTCAAATGAAGGTACTTAAAGAAGTGATTATCAAACTTTTAGTTAATTATAGTTTAATAAAGGATATTATTTAAGAAAAATAGCGATTAATGTGTAGTGGGACACTAGTACAGCACTGAAACCAAGTAAAGAAGTTCAAACCGAAATACTATTTTATTTTAGTGAAAATACACGTTTCCACCCACTTTTTTCCTCCATTTATATTTCTTTCCATTTGAAATGTTAACTATCACTTTATATAATAGATAACTAAGTTGAAAATTTAAATATTGAAGTGACATTTCTCAGGAGGCACTTATAAAGCGTTTAGGAGACTATGCGTTTCCGTTCCACTTGGAATTAACCCACCTAGCGCCACCTAGCATCCAATTAGTGCCAGCTAAGCAATACCACGGTCCACCTATGGGGACCTCTTATGAAGTTCGGGCTTATATAGGTAAGAATATTAATACTTAGTTTTTTTCTTTCACCTGTTTATTATGTTCATATTAACCATTACAATGTGGATAATATTTAACACTTATGTCTATAAAATTATTTATTCTAAAATTAGATTTAGGTACTACCAGTTCTCAAATCAAAGGCCATTCTCGAAGAACTGCCAAAACACTGTCTCCCACTCTTTTTATTCGATAACGAAACATAAATATCGGCTCGTAAGACATTGATAATGAAAAATCTTTGATGTATTTGACTTTTCCATTATAACCGACTTTCTTAATATAATTGCTTGTCAATGGAGACTACAAGCACTTATTTTAACATAACATCCATATATAGAAGCAATCTTTCTAAAATACAAAATGTAGGTAACATAAAACGAATACTATAAACTCTTTACAAAATTCAATTGATAAAGAATACTGTATTGATAAATTTTAATTTAATTAAGTTAAGTTAATTCTTCAAATATTTCTTTTCCGTTCTACTCCCATATATGTATATAATTTAAGTCCAAATAACTAATATACAATTAGTAATAAAATAACTACATTTCTAATTATTAGCCATAAAAATGTAAACGACTAGGTTGGTTTTATAACGTTTTAATAAATGTTTTTTTTTTCATAAAACATATTTCGAATTAGAAAAGAGGATCGATGTTGATAGTTTTCGTCAGAAGAAAAAAAAATTACAAACATTTACAGAGTCAAAAATGTTACAATAAATTCCATTACATGCATGGCCACGCACTTTAATACGATTTTATTTTCAGCTAGCCAGAAAGATGAGAAAATTTCCCGTCGCAATATAGTTCGTATGGGAATACGAGTGCTTCAACGTAGATCCCAGCCACCTGTCACGCTGACACATCACAACGCACTCAGGTACATTATTTCGTCTAATATTTCGTAGAACGCACCTATTGAGCGTCTAAGTGCGGAAACTGAGTCCACAAACCATAACCATAATATTATGTAATACCGCATTGGAAATATTATTTCATTATGCAAGGACTTTAAATATACATACATAGATCAGAATATGTGAAAACTTTTGGTGTATCTTAATGCCCGTATCACAGGGAACAAAAATAATATAACCTAAAGAAAATTAACATACATTGTTATGTACTTTGTTCAGTAAAACATAAAAACAAGGGATAAACAAACAAAATTAAAACGGTTACGGTAGGGTCACAGGTTTGATGAAATGACTTCAACAACAACAAACAAACTCCATGCACAAATTTCAATTATACGATTCAAAAACTGTAGGTTAATCAAAACAATATTTAACTAACATTGATATTGCTAATGACAAGCCAATTATTGTTTCATTCACATAACCAGCTCACGGCGACGGGTTCGTTGTATAAACCATATTTGAGTGTTCAAAATGCGGGATAAATAATAAAAGTTTGGAAGAAAATGGTAGAACATGTTTCATTTTGCTAATATTCAGTCGAAGACAAAATAACTTTAAAACGTATCAAATCAACAAGTTCAGTTTATCAAAGGCTAATATTAAAATAAGTTTCTCTAGCTACCGCTAATAATTTAATTTCTTCCTTAGCATCTCATGATATTAGCCCAAAATGGACCCGTTCAATAGGTTAAACAATAAGATACTCGTAGATTGTAGAAAAACTGTAGCGCCATGTTTTTAAATTGGTGGTATTGAATAAAAATACAATACATTTCTATTGTATGAAGTCACGTTTCTTCGTTGCTTTGAAATGCGGACTTCGGGTCTTCTTTTTATATTACCGTTTATAACTCAGCTTCACGTGGCACAAAGTTTTAAAAAGTACGAAAAGTAATATTGAAAACAAAAGCTTTGACCAAACTTTTGATCTACCCGTCTATTATTATCAAATTAATAGAAAATAATGCATTATGGTTTTAATATTATGGTTTCTGTGAGTAAAGCTGAACTAAGCTATAGATATCGCTTTGCTGACAAAAAAAAAACTCAAAAAGTAAACCCATTATGTCATTCATAATTTCTCAATAATGTGATATTCCCGTTTTTGCAACATTTCTCATATTTCCTCCACTCCTATGCATTCTTCTTCCGCTTAGTGAAATATCTAATTAATATAATCATTTTCCGAGTCATTAAAATTTGTACTTTAAAAATTAATAATAGACTTGTAGATATATACAAAGTATAAAAAAGCCACCCCCTTAGTGTAAGATTGCACGAATTTCCCAATTTGAGTAAAGATACGACCCAATATATGTAAATAATACCCTATTTGTATTCGTAGCTCCAAAGTAGGCAAAGTGGAAGTGAAATTATCAATACATCCGGTGAAATAACATGAACCTATATATTTGGTAAATAGTTCGAAACATTAATAACTTCAACTTCGTCTTAATATTTAAAATTTTTGCGTTACGTTGTATGTCCCCTATGGACTTAAACCAAACCGATTTCAATCAAATTTGCACACCGTGTGCAGTTTGAACTAATTTAAAAGATAGGATAGCTTACATCTCAATAACGAAATATTGCAAATTCTTTGTTTATCATTTGACAGTCACAATTATCTGTTAGCTCCCAACGATTCTTACAGATGTCGGTATCTGTTGACTGAATTGAGTAAGTATTCTAACAGATGGCGCTGTGTTGAAAGTATCAACGTTTCACATAAGCTACAATTTAATGGTAATCACCAATAAAGAATGGTGGTCCCCATGACTGGTGTTCTCATACCGTTTCCCTTGAATAGTTTACTACTATGTAATATAACAAGTATATATATGTAATAAAACCTTAAAAAAAAAAAAAAAAAAAAAAAAAAAAAAAAAAAAAAAAAGGGGGAAAAAAAAGGGAAAAAAAAAAAAAGAAAAGGGGGGGAGGGGGAAAAAGAAGAAGAAAAAAAAAAAAAAAAAAAAAAAAAAAAAAAAAAAAAAAAAAAAGAAAGGGGGGGGGGGGGGGGGGGGGGGGCCGGGGGGGGGGGGGGGGGGGGGGGGGGGGGGGGGGGGGGAAAGGGGGGGGGGGGGGAGGGGGGGGGGGAAGGGGAAAACCCGCGGGGGGGGGGGGGGGGGGCGGGGGGACCCCCCCCCCCCCAACCCCCCGGGACGGAAAACCCCACCGGGGGGGGCGGGGGCGGGCGGGGGGGGCGCCCCCCCCCCCCAAAAAAAAAAAAAAAAAAAACCCCCCCGGCCGGGGGGGGGGGGGCAATTTGGGAAAAACCCCCCCCCCCCGCGAAGGTAGGAAGGAACCCAACCCCCCCCCCCCCCCCCTGCCCGCCGGTCCCCCCCCCCGGGCCCTTTGGGGGGCTTTTCCCCCGCGCACCACCTTTTTCTGTTACCTCGCGCCAGTAGAGATTTTTTTTTTTTTTTTTTAAAAAACCACCCGGGGGGAGAAAAAATTTTTCTTTTTTTTTTTTTTTTCAAACTTTGGGGGAAACCCCCTTTTTTTTTTTTTTTTTTTTTTTTTAAACAAATTTTTTAAAAATTTTTTTTTTTTTGGTTTTTTTTTTTTTTTTTTTTTTTTGAAATATCACACAAAATATTACATTAGTTAGATAGTTATTAAACAATATATAATATTATACAAATATAAAGCCTTAAACATTTAGAATATTAAATTTTTATATTTATAAACACTTAGTTCTTGTACTTAAAAATTGATGAATATGTGTTGATTTAAATTAAATCTGTTTTTATTTAACTGTAATTTCTTTGTATGCTCTCTATGAGTATCTTTATTGATTATATGAAGATTTAGAACATAATTAAAAATGCTCTGCACTTTTACAGACTTCAAGGAAAAACAAAATTGCTAACGGACCAAAGCAGTCGACAGAAAGAGGAAATCGGTAAGTTGAGATTCAACTCTCAACAAACACATTCAATGGACTTCACAAGCTTATGTAGTCAGTGAATATATATGTCACCGTAAAATTGTAATCGATTCGATTAGGTTCAACTTTAAAATAAACAACTGAGGAAATAATCGATCCGATTAATTTACCGAGAATGTCACATCTCTTATAACGAATAGAAAAGTAGGAAATGGCCGTTTCACAATTTGACGGTTTGACGGTAGATTACAATCTACCGAATAATAATACGTTAAATTGTAAGCAGTACGCTGAGGTTCACAATCTTTCGACAGTTTATAATCTCGCGAGATAGATTATAATCTAACGGTTTTTACAATTTTACGTTAACATACACACACGAAACGTGGAATAAATTACAGCTTTCCTGTCCTACAGGACATGCATAAAAAACTATTCTCAAAAAAAAACACAATTTAATTTTTTTAATTTAATTATAAATTAATGTAATTTTTTTATTAGTGTAGGGGAGCCTAGGGCAGCCATAAAAGGCAGATCCCAAGGCAAACTTTGAACTATCGACATTTAGTGGGATGATATGTTAAGGGCGGGTTAGATTTATGTAAACTTAATTAATTTAATGAGTCATGTCCCATTAAAGAGTATGAAGAAAGTAAAGAAAACTTTAATATTATTACTCCAAATATTCTCCTTCTAAAATACATACTTTTTACGTATAACAAACACAAATACATGATTCATTAGCTAATAAGAAATTCATCAAAAAGTTCATAACGAATTCTCCAGTGAATAATTTTAATGTGTTTTCAGATAACTTGGAGCCAGCGCCACCTCGCGTCGCGGTCGAAAAGCCTTTTCTTCTTTGTGACGGCAGGTGAATATTAATACGTTATTATCCTAAGTAATTTATGAGAATTTATTTAAATTATTGAGTAGTGTTGGCCTTGTGGCTTCAGCGTGCGACTCTCATACGATCCCCGGCTGTGCACCAATGGACTTTCTTTCTATGTGCTAAGAAAGACAGGTATAAGTAATTATTATTATATTCATAGGATCAAACATGAACACTTATCACTTAAAATCTAAGCTTATTCATATAAAAAGTATATCATATTACATTAATTTAACTACGACGATTCCCGAGTCAACGGCATGCTTCAAATAATATCCTCTATAATAAATCGCATTTAATAAAATCCAAAATAATATTAAATGCGGATTATGCTATCAATTGAATTGCTATGCTTATAATCCTGAAGTGTGTGCCTGCGTCTCCCTCTACCCTCAGGGAGTACAGCTTTGGCACGTGTCTGACTGACGAATTATTCTTAAAAAACGTGATAATGTTATAGGCATCGAGTATCGACATATTTTTATGGATTAGACATTAGTTTATTTTAAATGTGACTTTCTCTCATAATAGTTTAATAATACTACCATATTATGATAAAGAAATCGTAATTGTTACTCAAATAATATATATATTTTAAAAATGACCACACAAATGTAATGATGTATTTTAGAGAATCACATGTTAAAGACAATCTTTTAACAAAAAACAATCTTTCTAACTAAAACTAAATTCTTCAATCTTCATCCTTTACTAATGTTCAAACAGTTAACTTTACTTTGAATGGTCCAGTGAATAGACTGTCTCGCACTTACAACTTGATGTTAGTAACATCGAAGAAAATATTGTGTTTTACAACAGTATTTTTTTTTTACTTGGGGAAATGCATTGCGCATACCCTACCGTGGTGCGACTGCTTAGTGCGGGAGGGTTATGTGGGATTCGCGATTGTGCATACCCACTAAAACCCCAAGGTGCCACCAACAATCGCCTTAGGCGGGATGCGGTAACAGCAGAGCCTTCTCCGCTTCCCGACATGCGATGCGGCGGTTGCGTCCCCCTCTCCCCGCCCATTGTTGATTTGTGAAGATACTTGACACGGCAAGTATCCTTCACAGATCGGGCCATACGCTTTTAGGAATAGCTAGGGGAGATCGGGTAGTGCTTGCAGGGATGGATCACCATCCCTTCTTTTGAACGCATGGCCCTGCTTTCCCGCTTGGGCACTCTTTAGGTGGCGAGGATTTGACGAGCCTGCGGTTTCTTTCGCCGTCGCGGATGGGTTTTGGGACAAAGCTCCCTGGTCCTTTCCGCTTATTCTTTGACTTTCAAGACCGACTCGCAGAAGTTGAAAAAGTAATTTTCCACGAGCCGTCATTTCCTGCGCTCAATATGGCTTTAACTACGTTTGGCAGTATTGCGTCTTCGCCCTAGAGTGTATCTAGCAAAGGTCTCCTTTCCGCTTACCACGCTGGGTAGTCCCTCAGCGTATACAGGGCGTCGTCTCGGCTGTCGTCGACACAGTGGTGACAGGTTGGTGCCTCCTCACACCCTACTACTTTGTGTAGATAACTACCAAAACATCCGTATCCGGACAGCATCTGCACAAGTCGATAGCTGAGGTGACCCCAGCGCCTCTTTACCCAACGTTGAAGCAAAGGTCTGAGGGCTTCGGTAGTATATTTACCGGCTCTCGCACCCGCCAGCTCGCTTTCCCACTCTACTAACAATACCTGGTCTTCTAAGGCTCGCCACGCGTTTAATTGTTCTAGTGTGGTGTTATCCCCTTTTTCCCGAGCTTCGGCCCTCCTCCAATATACTTCGCTAAAAGCAACCGCATCGAGATGCCATGGCGCGGTACCGGCTATAACACACACTGCGTCATAAGACACAGTGCGGTACGCCCTCGCAACTCTGGCAGCGACCACTCGCTGCGACTGCCTGAGTATTGTGCGATTGTACCCGGTAAGTTTGTCGGCCCATATACCCGTACAGTACTTTCGCCCAGATCGCATTAGCGTATAAGTGGCGACACCCCCCACTCGGCCCGCCGAGGTTTGGCATTATGCGCGAGAGCATGTTTACGGTGACGGTGAGTTTAGGGGCAAGAGCCGCGAAATGTGGCCCGAAAGTCCACCGTGGGTCGAGAACCAGCCCAAGGTATTTGAGCGTAGTACCGACCCGGATAGCTACTCCGCCGACGATGGTGTCTGCGTCTTGAGGTGGAGCTCTTCTGTTTTACAACAGTCTGCTAAGTTACCTTGTTTATCACGCTCTTAATGAGGTTTAAATTTCATTTGGTTTGGGTTTTTATTGTTATTTTTTATCTTTTTAGTTTTAGTTATTATTAATTTTTAATTTTTAGTTTTAATATTTATTTTTTTTAAATTTTAGATTACTTATTTCTTGGTTCTTACTTGTCTTTTAAAATAACATTTTACTTATAATTTTCGGATAGTTTAGTTCTCTATATCGGGTGTACAGCGAAGTATGTGTATAGCGAAAGAAAAAAAAAATTGTTATAAAAATGATATTTTTTTAATATTTAACTAATACATATTAAAAACATATAATACAATATAAATAATTAGTACAGTGTCAAAACATTACCCGGGTTGGGTCAGATCGGGCCAAAATGACTGGGAATTAGATTAAATTTATGAACGAAATTTTTTTAATATTAAACGTTAATAAATCAATCTCATTTTATTTCTGCTATTAGTATTTTTAGATAGTGTACAATCTGAAGATTACATTTAGATGAATGTTTAAATCTTCTTGAAATTGATACGCAGATAAAGTGTTTATTTGTAATCTTATGTTTTTATATCATTTCAATCTAGTATTAAAAATAAACCCTTAGTGTAATTTTATTTTTCGAAATGTACCTTAAAATAAGTAAAGGTTTCATTTATGATACCTATGAGACCTTACGAGTAACCCTACTTATTATACATACAACATATATTATCCAACATTATCACGAGTTCGTCTTAAATTAGTTACATCATATGAGCAAGTTTTCTATGATCTATGTACCTACGTTAGAAAGTTTTAACATGCGAATCAGAATATCGATTTTTATACAGACGGATAATTAACGTTTCCAATGAACAAAAGGCTAATTCCCATCCAAGGCAGCCTGTCATGAGAGTGTGTATATACTTTTTTGTTTTTGAAACCATAGTTTTTCTTTATTCACAAATAAAACGGTCTAATCGCACCGATTTAAATTAATCAGTCTCTTTTCGCCACAGCGTACATTTACAACAATAAAAGACGAAAGAGTAGTTTCGACAAATCGATTTAGGGTCCTTCAAAAAAAGGGCGTCCTAAAATGCCGCACTCGCGTGCCCTCTGGCATTGAGAGTGTCCATGGGCGGCGGTAATCACTTAACATCAGGCGATCCTTCTGCCCGTTAGCCCACTGGTATATACAAAAATGTTTTATTAAAAGATAACCCTGAATGAATTTTTATAAATGCGAAAGTATTATATTCATTTTAAACGAATTCCTTGAATAGGTACCGTCATCGTTTTGATAATTTTCGACACATTACACATTAATCCGACAAAAATCGAACTCACAAAATTCGAGTTTTACATACAAAACCATAGAAGTTGTAGACCATACTTGTTTTTTTTATACTATTATAAAATTATTATATTAATATGTACAATGTTCATCATCATCAGCCTCTTTCTTTTGAAGATCTTCCTCCACTACGCTATTTTGATCTGTCCTTCAGTCGTCTGTCGAAGATCACTTTATCCGTTAGCTGGAAAAGACAGCAAAAACCCCATTTTTTATTAAACCTTTACAATTTTACACAATGTTACTGGCACCAATCAAGTCAAGTCAATAATTTTAAACCTCATCATCAGCAAGAGAATGATTTGAAGAAGATTTCAAATCCAAACTCTTATTTTCCCAGATATCAGATCCAGCAGGGAGAGAATGTTAAACGTTCACCACGGAACAATCGCGTTATGCAAGCGATGACAATATTTTAATCGAATTATTTAATATTATTTAAAAATATATTTTAATAGAAAGTTCAATCAAAAAGTAGCTGGTATCTCACTGTATTTTGGACTGTTGACATTATCTTTCTCAATCTATTTCTTGACCACTTTTCTTTTTATTAACAAGTAGGTGATCTTCTTTACTTGTCACACCCCCTCAGAGTTCGACCGTAAATTTCGCAATTAGAAAGTAAAGCCCATTGGGGACACACGTTGATTTCTAAGCGACATTATGTAGTGTATGGTAAATAATGCATGAAAAAATATTGTAAAGCTTAAATGTTTCCAGGTTGGGACTGGAAGTGTGGCTCGACAAGGCGACATATTACCACGGCGAATCAATAAATGTCCGGGTACTCATCACAAACCACTCGTCAATTTCGTCGTCTGTTCGACGGATAGAGGTTTATTTACAAATTTATAATTTTACGCTGCTTCTCTATTTTAATAATAAAATTAGATGACCATGGCAAAAAATTCAATAGGGTAGAAAACTATGAAGGAGGTCCTCTATCTTAGAGTAATAAAATCTATATATATCTTAATATATATTTCTTGTGTGCGTGTGTATGTGACTGAACTCCTCCTAAACGACTGGACCGATTTTGATGAAATTTTTTGTGTGTGTTCAAGGGGATCTGGGAATGGTTTAGATTCACAAATCAGCCCAGCAGATGGCACTGCAGTCGGTACTTTCATACTTTGCTTAATATCCTAATCGCTTTAAATATCATGCAGGACAACGTCTGTGGGGTCCACTAGTATGTATATATTTCTTTTTATGTAATGTATGTCAATAAGATAAAGGCTTATTATTATTATTGCTATTTTAAACCATCTCAAATAATATTTACCTAGCCTTGTTTAGTATAATTAAATAAATTATTAAAACCAAAGATATTTTGTCCTCTATCAGCAGGAGGCATGGTAAATGCTCCTACGTACTTACATTATCGTGGGAACAACACGCAAATCATAGTCGAAATAACTAACATCACCACATCAACATACACGAATTCAAGTCACACCAGTCACCACGTCATGTAGCACCTGTTCACAAGTATGACGCAGGGCCAGCCATCAGCCCCCTCGCCATATTTTTGACATTTAAGCGAGCATGACGATCCTTGAAATGTGAACTTGGCTACATAAGAAAATAATAATAATAATAGTTATACTGAAATAATTTGACTTAACTGAGCCCTGGGGCACTCTTGCTTTTATTTGGCAGATTGATGTTAGATAATCCTCACATTTGACCCGGATCATGCGTTTTTGCAAATAAGACTTCAGAAGAAGGTACGCAGTATTTGGTAGGTTCAAATTTAGCTTACACAGGCGGCCCTTATGTCATACGCGATCAAAAGCCTGATGTATATCGAAAAATACTGCTGAACAATACGTACTCTTTTCTTTCTAGGGCTTGCCGTATTGTATGAGAAACATCAAGATGTATTTGTTCCATTGTTCCATGTTGTGCACGAAAGCCGAATTGTTATCGATTCCTGCTGGTATGCCATTGTCGTCTTAGTCTTCTCTTCGTAGCAATTAGATATTTTATTTCCAACGGTATGTCCTGAATTTGTGTTCTAGGTTCTAGATACGGGGTCGATAGCCATGCTGCTTTTCGTATAAGATTAGTAACTTGCCAAGCTGTATCGTCTATGTCATTTTCACTTTTAAGGGATATGCGTAAGGTAAGCATTATCTTTAATACTCGAAAGACTTCCCAGTCAGTTTTACGGTTGTATAAAGTTTCCCGTGGTTCTTTGTAAATAACTATTGTGCTTCGTGTGCAGATAACTGGTGTGTGGTCTGAGGAGCAATCTAGACAAGATTGGATTTTAGTGTAGAGCCCAGATATCCTTTTAGTGATGAAAAAGTCGATAAGGTCTGGCATTTTTTTTGATCTCTTGGTTCACCTGTTGATATTGCACTAAGGTTATTGTTATGCATGTTGCCATAAAATGCCATAGAAGAGACCCCTAAGGAAGAATGTGCCCACTGCTTTTCTCAGTTGTTCCATCGAATTCGACGATGTGTAGAGAGGAACGGAGATTACTTCGAAAAACAATAAAAGTATTGACAACTTTCTACATTAAGCGGTTTTCATTTTCTAAATATTTTCAGTGTTACCTAGGTAACAGACGATCCCCGTGATATCGTTCCATTTACATTTACCTTTTGAAGTCTATCGCTCAGGTATGATTCCAAAAGATTAAGCGCTTTTTCGCTAATGCCATAGTGTTGAATTTTTTTCATTAGGATTTCGTGATGGACTCAAAAGCCTTTGATAAATCGCAAAAAACTGCAATGGCATCATTGAAATTAATTTAATACCAGCATCGGCTGTGGAGCGAACTCTTGTAAAACCATACTGCTGGCTATGCATATGTTTATTTGAAGTGTATTAATAATTAATCAAGAACATTTTTTTTTTTAAATTTCTCAATGCAGGCATCACAGATTCTAAAATTTGTGGGGTCAGATGTGCTGCCCGTTTTGAATAACGGTGTGATTTTACTTACCTTCATCTGGTCTAGTCTTCATATTATAGCAAATTCTGAACTGATACACAAAATTAGCATTCACATATTAAGACCATTGTCAGAACAAAGGCACTTTCTACAGCATTCCAGTTGTTTCCCCACTCGACATTTGGATTCTTTAAATTTTTCTAGTGCACAGATTAAATCTTGTGAAGAAAATAAACAAACACATTCTTTGAATAGTCATCAATTAAAGTCATAAAGTATTTGGCACCACCCAGCGAGCTTGTCTCCATCAGACCACAGATGTCAGAGTGCACCAGTTGAAGTGTCTTTGTAGAATTCGTTTCACTTTGTAGCTGAAGCACCTGCTATGGAACCTGTTCAAGACTATCTGTTGAGACTATAGAAACTGCAGCATAACTTGAACTCTCTTGATTCTTTTTTGTAGATTTTGACTTTCACTCGGCAGCAATATGGCCATATTTATTACATTTGTAGCAACGAAGCCCTCTTCCAGGTGTTTCTTGCTACCCTTATTCTTGAGGTTATAGTTAGCAACAAATGCAGATGTGTAATTTTCACACACTTTGACATCTTGTAGAATTTTCGACTTAACAGAGTCTGCGCTTATTTTCATACCAGAGCTTTTGGTTGCTATACGAGATGGGCTTGTATGTTTCAGGTAGACCAGAGAGTCGTAGTGTCCTGAGACACTCTTCATCTACTTTAAAACCAATGTTACGGAGCTTGTAAGCTGTGGTCATAATTTTACTCACAGATTCTTTTACGTTTTGACATCCAGTAAGATTTGTTGTACATAGGTCTCGAAGTAAACCCACGCGGCGTGTTAGCCCCGAACCGTCAAATGCCTTTGCCAAGCAGTCCCACACTTCTTTTGCAGACTTTGCATATTGTATGTGAACGTAGTTTACGGAGTCCACCAGCAAGATTATCTTGGATTTTGCTTTGATGTCACGTTTCAGGTCGATAGATTCACTGGGCTCAGGAACACCGAGTCTTAATGCCCGTCAAACACGTATCGTTAGAGCAATTAAGTTTGTTTACGAAATAGAAAACTTATACAAACCACCAATAATAATTGATATTTACTTTCCATTGTATTTACTATCCGAGTAAGATAAATTAAATGGGATCTGATTGATTTTACTTGATTTTTGTTTATTGAGCAATCCTAATTATGTATTATATTATGTTTACATAGTGCGAGTGTTGTATCTTGGTTCTATATAGTATATTACATATACATAACATTTATTACTAACGAAACCCACACACTGAAACACAAAAAAAATATAAAAAAAGAATGAATAATAAGATTTTTTTTATTAACTACGCCGGAGTTATAGGCTCGCTAGAGTTCGTTGAAGCTAATTGCCGTTACTGAGTTTTCTAACTAATTAGTTTCAGGTCCTAGTCATACAGCATATGGACGTTTGCATGTATTCAAATGGGAAGTTCAAAAATGTAGTGGCTTTCCTACAAGAATCTGGCAAACTAATTCTACCTGGGAAGACCAAAAATTATTCATATATACTGAGACCTCACAGAGGTAAGTTGCTCTAATACAACGCGACTTCATGTGGATCAACCACATGAAGTCGCGGAAGGTCGTTTAAGGATAGATGTGTGATAATATCCTGATACAACACTGCTTTCATACATAACCTCTGATGGTTTCAAAATATTCTTTTTTGATTAAGATCTGAAAATGAGTTTATAAATAAAAACAAATAAATTCAAGATTAATCTTAATTAATCTGCTACCATTTAAGTACTTGTATCAGGTACAAACTAGACAATATCTTGATATTATGATAATTATATCAGTTTACATATTACAGGTGCCACCAAGAATTGGATAGCACTCGAGGATTCATATTCAAAATCTGGCGCAACTCTAGCATCAACTGTTCTATGTAACTCCGAATCTAATGATGAGCGTAACGTGTTCGCTATTTACGTGTCCTACTATGTGAAAGTTAAGTTAACACATAGCGCAATGGGTGGTCAAATTTCCGTCACACTCCCGTTCACTCTTACCCGGTCCTGCATCAATGAAGCCCCAACTGATAGCGTAACAGAAGAAGCAATCCATAAAATGATTCTAGAAGGTGAAGAAGAGAAAGCAGAAGTAAAAGACAACCAGAATAGCAACGGAGAAACAATTCATGAAGCGGATGAACCGTCGCCAGAGAATTATAGATGCAAAAGAACAAAAGTGACTGAACAAAAAGAAACAGCGATTGTTAAATGTAATAATGAAGAATTGGATTTCATTGAGAAATAAATATGTCGGCCCAGATACGTAATCACATTAAATAGTAAAAGTTGAATCGAATGTAGTGAATTCGATTAAGTGTAATGAGGTCCAACTGAAAGGCAGAGGATTTGAAAAGAGCTGTCTGTTGTATTGATAAAAGAAGACAGTCGTAGTGCTACGTACATATTATTTTTTTAAATATATTGCGCTGTTTAATGCGACGAAATTTCTTTATTCTGAAATAATTGAACAAAATTCACATCTAAAAAAACTCATTTCATTTAATAACTTACATCAAATTAAGGGTACTTAAGACATAAAATAACTTTATAGAAATATTGTATTGACCCAAAGCTTATTAAAAAAACTCAATTCGAATGTCAACCATAGGTTAAAGTCATTATAGTACAATTAGTATTGTAGATTTAAGAAAAATATTCTAGTCGTATTTTTTATAAACGGTGCATAAATTTTGCGATTTCGGAACCGATTTACGGAATCCTTTAAAATTTGTATATAGTATTCGACTTAAACTGAAAAACAAGTTCAAATATGGCAAATATCTTAAAAATTTCGAATCGATAATTTTCCACGCCTGTAGAAAGTAGATAGAAGAAGTTTGCAATGGCAACTAAACAAATAATTCTTTAACCAAAGTTATTATAAGCATAACTTAGATATTATAGTTATATTTTAGAAATATATGTAATATTCGTGCACAGAAACATACATGTTTTTAAGTCGAATGTAGAAGTCGAAGTAAGAAGTAGACATGGGGAGAAATTGGCTGTGCCAAAAATCAATCTGGAACTAGTATTGTCTTTTATTGACATAACTTTCACATTTCATAATAAAACAATTTTTTTACCGGATTGAAGGTATTTACAATTATTTTTCATAATTCCTTTTGTCTTCAGTCACCGTGACCACGCACGCTGTAAAGCACGCGAAACGTCGGTTAAATTTAAAATTATGAAATATTTTATCATTATTATTAAATAAGACTTCTTTTATATTGTCTTTCAGAGACGTATTATGTTTAGCCTGTGTAACATTTCATTTTTTTGATCTGATGTTGATGTTAAGAGTTGCGGTAGGTTTGAGTACAGGAAAATTTGGAAAAAGAAAACTACGAAATTAAATACATTTCAACGTTACTTACCAGAGATGTAGGTGAGCAATTCGGGTAGTTTTTTAGAACCGTCAGCAAAAGCTCTAGGCCCCAGGCCATGTGCCACCCCTTTCTCAACACCTATAAACGAGATACATAATTAATTAATTTACTTTATTGCCCACCTTTTTTGATTCAAAAAATTTGTTAACGTTAACTTAAAGCTGCTAGTTTATAATATGTATTTTCCGAAGTTTAAGGGATGATTGGACTTTTAAATAAAACATTTAAAACGGCTTTGTTTATTTATAAATGTTTTACAAAACTCGTCTGCACTTAGGTGAGTGCAGCAAAATCATTTATTAAATCTTCGCAATTCAATTTGCTTAAAAAATCCTGGCCTAATCTTCGACTTCTGAGTTGCTAAGATTCGTAAAAAACCACAGAGGGCAAAACATTACGCCCATGACTATTAACAAAGTCGGATCTGCAAAAATTGTTTTTTTTTTAATTTCTTAAAACGTGCCCTAATGACCAAGGTTATCATCAGCCGAAATCAAAATTATATAATTATGCATAGTTTTTGAAATACCGAGGTTAAAAACGTCGGATGTTTAATAGGCAGCCCGTTAACAATGTCGCGAAGTAACAACCTACCTTTTTAACGGGACGCGGGGGAGGGTGAGAGCGCGCGATCTGCTAGGGATGTGACATTTTGCATAAAAAATCGATTTTTTATTAATCGATTATTTTTTTAGCATAAAAATCATATTTAATAGATTTTTTATAAATATCCAAAAAAAAAAACTTTATTGAATAAAATAAACAATAAACATTATAAACACAATTAAGTTAAGATAATAAAATAATTAACTTAATTTTTTTTTGGTAACTTTGTAACTGGTGCCCTTTTCAGTAGAACTGAAGATTTTTGTGCTTTTTAATTGTATGTAATCTTGTGCTGCTGAATAAATTTATTTTACTTAAAAAAAAGGGGGTAAAATAAAAACTTGAGTTCTTGTAATAACTAACTGGTTTTATCATCCTTTCGATTTTTAAAAAAAAAAAAAAATGGCTCGAGTATATCAATACATCTTCAAAGCATTGAATGTATCCATTGTAAACATAATAATCTAATTTGAGGTCCGGGATATAAAAAAAACATTAATTGATTTCACAACGTTTAATATGAAATCTACAAAAATGATAAAAAGTTTTTTTTTTAAAAAAAGGGTTTTTTTCCCCCCCCCCCCCGCGCCCCCCCCCCCATTTTTGGGGGGGGGGGGGGGGGGGGGGGGGGGCCTTCTAATATTTTCGACGGTCAATTGCAAAACCATTAATAATAACAACGTTTATTATGTCTACAAGATCAGCACGTTTAATCAAACTTGCTACAAGGTGTAAAAAGAAAATAATAATAATAATACACATGAAATAAACTTAAATGCCGGTCAACGTATTCCTTCCATAGTCAATCCCAGTGTCAAAACAGGTATTTTTTTATAAATTCTGAATTAATTTTATAATATATTAATATTAGAGTTTATAAATTAATGATACTTTAAATTTTACACTGAATTAAAGTTTTATATTTTAAAGTGCAAATAAAATAGTAGGATGTGCCACATCCGACACTGTTTAGCATTTTTTTCATTACTTGACTGTCGGAAGTACCACATCCAACGTTGTTCATGGCTTTTTAAAAGGATTTTCTGTCAAAAGCTCTACATCCGACATTTGAGGGTTTTTTTAAATGAGTTTTAAACATAAAAATTGTGATAACACAATGGGGTAAACGTGAATCTTTAATTTATACTATTTTAAAAACAGAGTTATTGACGACGAGATGTCTAGAAGCGTTTGTGACCACGTCAAATCATTTCCACTGGTGGAGTCACATTACATCAGATACAAAAACAAAAAAAAATATTTAGAAGGTAAGGTAGATAATGCATCTCGAATGTATGGATTGTACGCTGAATGGTTTGATTCTGGAAAATATAAGAATAAAGCAAATAAGAGACAATACAAGTTTTAATATTTTTTTTTTATATACTCAACTCTAATTTTAAATATTGTGCAGCTGGTTCCATAAGCCTGAAAAAAAATGCCTTAAACCTATATTGTAGACCTAGTATACTGATATATTAGCAGCTACTTTTGATTTTGAAAAGTATTAAAAAAAAAAAAAAACCCCCAAAAAACACACCCGGAAAAAAAGGGGAAAAAAAAAGGAAAAACCCCACCCCCCCCCAACGCCAAGGGATCAAGCCGCCGATAATGACGGTGACATTACCGTTCGGTGAATACGTCAAGCGTAGAGCTATTTTACTATAAAAAAGTTAACCCTTTTGGGCCAACTTTACTGAGTATATTAAGTTTTGGAGGCTAATTTAGCCTTTCCTTCAAACATTTATATAAAAAAAACTAATAGGCCTATATACTGTTTTATGTGGCAGAATGAAAACTATATCTAAAAAAAGGTACCTGTTTTATGTGGCATGAAGCTATAGCTAAACGCGGGGCAAATTGTTGCCTCTATGAATATATAAAAGAACACGCTTTAAGAGGAGTAAAATTCTTTAAATTCTGACAACTGTGCGGGTCAGAATAGGAACCAAATAGTTTTCTCTCTACTTGCTTGCAGCAATAGAATTTGGAGTCACGATTACACATCGATTTATGGAAAAGGACCACACACAAAATGAAGGGGATAGTGTCCATTCAACTATCGAGCGAATTGGGTTAAAGACACTAACTAACAACGAAAAAGTAAATTGGACACTTCTGAGAGAGATTACAGTGAATGCGAATAATTTTGACAGGATAGAGTTCGAATACAATTTTGAAGATGAACCAAAAACAATTATTGTCCTGCGATCTAGCACAAGAAGGGCAGCTAGAATATCTCATGAATTAATTATAAAGCAGGCTTATGAGGGAGAACTTGCCATAAGTTACAACAAATATAAAGATTTGCTAAGCTTGTGTAAAAGTGGTGTAATCCCAGCAAAATATCATATTTTTTATGAAAATTTAAAATTCCATACTGTTTCAGAAGGAAACATGGACGAAGAAGATTGATACTCTGATTTCTTATCCTAGTATAAAAAAGTAATAGAACGAAACGCTGTGATTAATAAATAATAATGCCTAATATATTATTAGTAATTGATTAAGTGAATTATTAGAATTTTCAGTAATAATTAGATTTTGTATCTCGTGTCCTAAATTTTTATTTGGTTTTGTTAATTTAATTTTCGTGGACTTTTTTTGATTTCAATTATTATGAAACTTATATCTTTGATTATTACCTAAGTGAAAATTTAAAATTACTTATTAGTATAGCTTAAGATAGGTTTTATATCTTTATATGACTGGTGGTAAGATTAAGATTTCTTCTTTTAAAAAATAAGATTCTTTTTAATATTTTTGGCCTTTCTTTTTAATAATTCATACATACGACATACCTTATCAATAGACTAACAAAGACGTAAATGCCACTTCCGACAAATACTCATTAATTTTGTACCCGCAACAATGTTGGTTGTGGTACATCCGACAAATAGTGATCAGTTTCGCACGTGCAACAATGTCGGATCTGGTACTTCCGACAAATCTTCATTAGTTTTTCACCTTTTTCAAATTCAAATTCAAAAATCATTTATTCACAAATTCAAAAATCTTTAAGAAGGTAGCAACTGACTTTTCTCATACTTACACATAAAATACCTGCTAATTAAAATACTGTCCTAGACATACACAATCTGCACAGTATTACTGCAAAGTTTCATGATTATATCTCAAGTGATTACAAAAATATAAATAATTGAAACTTTGAATCGCTCTCCTGTAAAGTTGCCGTTTTGCATATCCGACTGTGTTAATAGTCATAGGCGATTATTTATTGGATACAATTTTACAAATATTAAAAAAAAAAATTGGCACGATTTGCCGCCCTAGGCCCGGGCCTACTTTGCCTTAGGGCAAATCCGCCTATGATTACACTAGTGTTTTAATACCTAATTATATGCAGTTGCATACACTACTCGATTTAATATCATGGCTATAGGTTTCCAAGTCATAAAGTATTGGTAACATTTGTCGTACGCTTTTCTTGATTTTTCTGGCAAAAGACTATTCGTCAAGTTAAATTTTTATCGGTATCGTCGGGGTTGCTTGACATTTTTGCTACTAAAGTTTTATCCAACAAAATATTACTCAAATTCGTATGTAGCGCCAATGGAAAAGTCTGTTATTGGTCTATTGGCTCGGAACCAGCTCTCACCACAGATTATGTGTACTTAAATTGAATTGAAACCTCCTTGGTCGGGACACATTGTACTTTAATAATTAAAAAATTGTTTTAAAGCATTGTTTTGTTAGGAGAATAATGCTTTAATTTAATTTTTTAATTTACTTAAAGAAGTATGAATGAGATAAAATATGCCAATAAAAATCTGTATTTCATTTCATAATTAGAATATTACCGAATGAGATTATATTAATATATTTATAAAACCCACAGCCGTGTTAAAACTAAATATTATTTATATTTTTTTGTTTGCATTCTAGTCTCGTTAGAAATATAGCATTCAATTCTTGAATTGTTTCACAGTGAACTTTATTGAAAGGCTTAGTACTAACATTATTGTGTATTTAGTTGCTTGTTGAAAGTATTTGTCTGACCACGAACCTGCTGGCTCGCCCTCTAACTTCAATCTATCGGATTTAAACGTTTAGATTTACAACGACTAGCTTAAAGCGAGATATTGGTAAATTAAGAACAGTTGACAAAACTGTTTTTCTAGGCCTAACAATAGATAGTAAACTGCAACGGGGCCCAAACATAGAGACTCTTTCGAATAGGCTGAGCTCTGCAGCATATGCAGTAAAGAAAATCCGACAGTTTACTGATAAGGACACGGCTAAAATTGTGTATCATAGCTACTTTCACAGCGTTATGTCGTACGGTATTCTACTGTGGGGTGCAGCTGCAGAGGTTCAATCCATATTTGTGCTGCAGAAGCGGGCTGTTCAGGGTATTTTTTGTGTTTCCCCAAGGGAGTCGGTACGGAATAGGTTTAAGGAATTAAGTATTATGACACTATCTGGTCAATGGCCAAACAAATGGTGACTTTCACCAGTATAATACTCGAAACAGAACTAATTTACGACCAACCAGGCTCCAGAAGATAAACCAATCCTTATATGGAAATTGTATTCGTTTTAACATCAAACACCCAAGCGAAATTAGAGAATCATCACTAAATAAATTTAAAACTCTCTCACTGTTAAACGTAATTTAATGAATAAAGCTTTATATAAATTTGAAAATTATTGAAATGATCCTAATTCTTGGGATTGATTTGCTCCAGTTCAAATAATTTGTATGACTCCAAAGTTCTTTGAAATCCATTAAAGTTATTCGTAATTTTGGAAATATACCCCCTTTTCAGTTACGGGCAATATCTTCCGATTTTGATCGTGGTGGTCGGTACCAACCATCTTCGATCGGGAGGCCAAAGATACGACCTCGAGTCGTACATTCTTTACGAGAACTACAACCGTACAACTCAGGCCAACGACCTGTGTTTATTAAAAACAGCCACACCAATCGTTTACAACGATAAAGTTCAACCAGCCGAAGTGCTAATCCAGGAAACGCCACCCGGTTCAAACCTCATGTCGACTGGATGGGGAGAAACGGGAGTGAGTTGTAACTTTCATTGTTATTTTTTTTCGTATTTCAATCCCAGGGCGACATAAAATTAAAATGTCTTAACGAAACATATTTCAGACCGATGGCGACATTCCCCAGAATCTGCAAATGTTAAACTTCACATCTATAGGAACCCAGGAATGCGATCATACCAGGAATTCTACGGAAAACGTGGATCTCTTTCCCCATCACTGACAAACAGACGGTGCCTTCCTTGACAGTATGACTGTCAAGGAAGGCACCGGAGGATGTAAGGTAATAAAGCAGGATTAATATTAAGAATAAAGAGAGAATAAAGAGAGAGAAGAGATTTATCCTTAGTTGGTGTCATGTCTGTTGGTGTTGTACCCTGTGGATATGGTGTACCAGAAGTGTCGACTAATGTGATCAAGTACGTTCCTTGGATCAAGCAACATACAGGAATGTAAATTTCATTATTTTAAAATAATCGTCAATATAGTGCATGAGCCTATTTAATACAGCCAATCTAGAAGGAAACGTGAAAAGTTGGAAATGTCTTAAATTCGTATATATATAGGTACTATGAGTTTCCTTTAAGTTTGAAATTGTTATATATTCTTTTGCTTGTTGTGATTTTATGTTTTATTATTATAAGCAAATATATAATACATAGTCAGTGTGACTTTAGTGGTTTAGTTACTTAAATAAAAGGTCTTATAGTCAAAAACATTTAATACATTACAGTAAATATTTACAACAGTAACTATCTTTACACACAATAGGTCAAAAAATTAAATAAACCTATAATCGAATTTAATCGTATAGTTATCTTAATACCAAAAGTCAAAAGTATTAGCGGTAGGCTGTTTTTGAGCCTTCGAAAAACAGAAATTTGTGGATTTAGTACTGATTACAAACATCATCACAATGTTCTAAAAATAAGAGTATATGTTTATTTTTGTACCATATTCTTGGAATAAATAAATTATTATTATTATTATCATATATAATCCTATGGAATACCATAGCATAGCTAAGCCGGATGTATAGAACTTATAATCAGTATTTAAAATAGATGGCGATTGAATGGAATAGCTTTTTGTCAGTTCTCGGCTTTGATTTAAGAACTGTAACGTTCACACATACAAAAGTTAATATGATTCATAAAGTAATAAACCTGTTTAAATTGAAACAGTTTTTCACATATTGTTTTTGGAATAAAGCCATTAGTATTGTTTAAGGCTATCTCTTACAGTTTATTCATATTAGTGCAGACAAGCTTAATTGCTATTAATAGCTGGCCCTGTACAGATACAGTTTTCTCACTCGTAGATTAAGTGAATATGTTAGATCATTTAACCGAACATTATTGCACACTCAGAGTGGTCTTTCAACGATTACATATTATGCAATTTCGTAAAAAAAATTATAAGTTTTAAGGTAAGTTTAATTTAGATCCGATCGGAATTTGTTACTTTATTCAGTAGTCAACTAATAGGGCTATAGATGATTAGGAGAGTTTTATTGATAGTATAACCAAAGTAAATAGTTAAAACAATATAAAGGTCAACTTTGATTGCGGCTGTTTTTCATATAATTAAAAAAAATACATTTTGTGGTTTATTATTAACCTCAACACATACAATTTTTTTCTGTATTGATCGGAAAAATAATTAGCTTATTCAAATTTTTTTGGATGACATACATATTTATTATATATATATGGAAAAATTACTATACTATAATACAATACAATATCAACATCTAAGTATATAAACGAAAAAATATTTATATGTACAGTACAGTTTTGTGATTTTAGGCTAAGTTGTAGATAATTGTTGATAAAATTATGTAATAAACCATAATATCTAAGTTACGCTTATAATAACTTTGGTTAACGAATGATTTGTTTAGTTGCCATTACAAACTATATCGATCTACTTTCTACAGGTGTGGAAAATTATCGATTCGAAATTTTTAAGGTGTTTGCCATATTTGTGCTTGTTTTTCAGTTTAAGTCAAATACTATATACAAATTTTAAAGGATGCAACCCCGTAAATCGTTTCCGAAATCGCAAAATTTATGCACTGTTTATAAAAAATAACGACTAGAATATTTTTCTTAAATCTACAATACTAATTGTAATAAAATAACTTTAACCTATGATTGACATTCGTTTAGTCTTTCAAATTAAGCTTTGGTTCAATACAATTTTTCTATAAAGTTTTCAATATTTTTGTTACACTTAATTTGATGTTAAACATTGAATAGAATGAGTGCTTTTAGGAGTGAAACAAATTTTGTTACCCAGCAGAACAACAAAATTTTGTCGCATTAAACAGCACAATATATTAAAAAAATTCAATTCACTACGACTGTCTTCTTCTATCAATACAACAGACAGCTCTTTTCAAATTCTCTGCAAAACTACCTTTCATTTGGACCTCATTACACTTAATCGAATTCAGTACATTCGATTCAACTTTAACTATTTCATCGGATCACGTATCTGAGCCGGAATATTTCTCAATCAAATCCAATTCTTCATTATTACATTTGACAATCGACGTTTCTCTTTGTCCAGTCATTTTTGGTCTAGTCTTTTGATTCTCAATATTTACCAGCACATCCGCAATACATCTATGATTCTCTGGCGACGTTTCATCCGCTTCGTTAATTGTTTCTCCGTTGCTGTTCTGGTTGTCTTTTACTTCTGCTTTCTTTTCTTTACCTTCTAGAATCATTTTATGGCTTGCTTCTTCTGTTACGCTGTCAGTTGGGGCTTCGTTGATGCAGGAGTGGGTTAGGGTAAATGGTAGTTTGACGGAAACGTCCCCACCCATTGCGCTAAGTGTTAACTTAACTTTCACATAGTAGGACACGTAAATAGCGAATACGTTACGATCATCATTAGACTCGGAGTTACATAGAACAGTTGAAGCTAGACTTGCACCAGTTTTTGAATAGGAGTCCTCGAGCGCTATCCAATTTTTGGTGACACCTGTAATGTATAAGAAAACTGATATCATCACCATAATATCAAGATATTATCTAGTTTGTACTAAGTACTTAAATGGTAGCAGATTAATGTAGGTGTATCTTGAATTTATTTATTTTTAATTATAAACTAATTATTAGGTTTTTCTTGTAAATATATAATATCAATAAAGAATATTTTTGAAGCAGTGTTGGCCTAGTGGCTTCAGCGTGCGAAACTCATCCCTGAGGTCGTAGGTTCGATCCCTTGCTGTGCACCAATGGACTTTCTGTCTAAGTGCGCATTTAACATTTACTCGAACGGTGAATGAAAACACCGTGACGAAACCGGCTTGCCTTAGACCCAAAAAAGTCGACGGCGTGTGTCAGGCACAGGAGGCTGATTGCCTACTCGCCCATTAAATTGACAGATGATCATGAAACAGAAATCTGAGGCCCTAAAAAGGTTGTAGCGTCACTGATTTTTTCATAGAATATTTTTGAAACCAACACACGGTGTTTAAACACGCTGATCCGAAACTAGGTTTGAAACCAGTGCTGTATCAGGATATTATCACAGATCTATCTTTAAACGACCTTCCTCAGCGTCTTCATGCGGTTGGCAACAGCAACTTACCTCTGTGAGGTGTTAGTATATATGAATCATTGTGGCTCTGCTCAGGTGGAATTGGTGTCCCTGATCCTTGTAGGAGTGCCACTACATTTTTGAACTTCCCATTTGAGAACATGCATACATCTACATGTTGTATCACTAGGACCTGAAAAGATTTGGTTAGTAAACTCAGTTAAGGCAAGCGAACTCTATCGAGCCTATAACTCCGTGGTAATATACTAAATAGGCGCAACCTACAACACTCGCACTATACATAGCATAATAATTAGGATTGCACATAAATAAAAATGAATTACCAGTCGAATTAATTAATCTTACTCCGATAGTAAATACAATGGAAAGTAAATATCAATTGGTTGTTTGTCTAAGTTTCCTATTTCGTTAACAAACTTAATTGCTTAAACGTTCTTGACCTATTTAACGGCCTTATAGGGGCCAAAATATGCATATTATTCAATGATAGATTGTTGGAATAAACGTAGACGTGTACGTATTTAATTGATTGATTTTTCCATACACCATGACAGGTTAGGTATTATTATAATACCTAGAAATTACATTATTGTCATGGGGTTTCGAGGATTATGAGGGTAATATCACTCCAGCCAATCCCATTTTGGTCATGAATTTATTTTGTTTTTAACAAAATCTTAATATTTAACGTTTTGATGAATGTTTTGTTGAAATTATGTCTATTTTAGCGTAAATACAACTTGAGGTAATCGGACTATTTTTAAGTGACGTTTACGATATATGTACCAACGATGAGTTAATGTTTTAATTATTATTTAACTTAATAAACTAGGTTAAATCAACTCATGACATTATAGAATAGCGGGGGATAACTGGATGAATGTCGCTCAAGACAAAGAGAAATGGAAAAATATGGAGGAGGCTTTTACCCTAAAAGGGGCCATCCAACAACTAGACCACTATAAAATTAAAAATAAATCTAACTTAAATTTAGTTTCAAACTCATACTAACTTAACTAATACTAATATTAAGGAATGTAAACTAACCAATTGTTGTATAGATTAATAAAGCTTTATATAATAATAATAATAATAAATCAACTCATTAATAGGAAACAATTTTTTACCGGATTGAAGTTATGTGTTATTATAAATTTACAATTATTTTATTAAGTTATATTACGTATATACTAAGTTATTTTATAGTATTAAAATATAATATTATTATTATTATATTTTAATACTATGTAAAATAATTGTAACTTTATAATAATACATAACTTCAATCCGGTAAAAAATTGTTTCCTTTAAATGTGTAAAAGTTATGTCAATAAAAGACAACACATCTCATTATTAATTAAACAGTTTAATCATTTTGTTTTGTAAAGTAAAAAGCTTCGTATATCAGAACCATCTCTTGCAAATGAAACTCTCTTTATGAAGTGCATACCGGCTTCGCGACTCAGTGGCCTAGCTCGTTTTAGCTAATCAATACGTTGAAAGCGGGGTTACGTTGAACAATAATTTCAGTTTGCAACGCACAATGTTCATTAAAAGTAATGTTCTTGTTAAAAAGGAAGATCATTAATCAAGTTGTGTTTTTCTTAACCATACTGATAATTTTAGCTTTAGTCAACAAATAACAAAATAGTGTAGATAATATGGAGAAAGCCTCCCGGACAGAGACCGCATCTCAGAGCCTCATCGTTTTAAAATAGCAATAATAATAAGCCGGTATCTACATCTTATTATGTCAATAAGATGTAGATACATTACATAAAAAAAAATTATTACTCTAAGTTGCGGTCTCTGTCCGGGAGAACGCCTCCTCCACATTCTTCTACCCTATTTTATTATTTGTCGTCCTTATCTAATTTTATTAATAAAATAGAGAAGCAGCGTTAATTTATAAATTTGTAATTAACCTTTATCCGTCGAATAGTTTTTGACGAGTGGTTTGTGATGAGTACGCTGACATTGATTGATTCGCCGTGGAAATATGTCGCTTTGTCGAGCCAGGCTTCCAGTTCCACCCTGGAATCATTTAAATATTGTTCTATTAGTTCCAGGCGTTTCTTCGTGAATTATTTACCAAACACAAAATAATGTCGCTTAGAAATCAACTAGCGTCCCCAATGGATTTCACTTTCTATTTGCGAAATTCAACACTCGCACGTACGGGGAAGGAGAACGTGAAGAAGCAAGCATGCCTTGTTGACGAGTGAAGAAGATCACTTACTTGTTAATAGGAAAATAAAAAATGGCCAAGAAATAGATTCAGAAAGACAAAAATATACACAGTAATCTATACCAACTACTTTTTTATTGAACTTTCTATTAAAATATATTTTGTCGAAGCTTTTATGATTTTTCGTCGTCAATCTTACATACTATTAAATAATTCGATTAAAATATTATTATTTGACATTGAAATTTTACCATGCTGGATCTAATATCTGGGAAAATAAGAGTTTGCATTTGAAGTCTTCTTCAAATCATTCTCTTGCTGATTTATGAGATTCAAAATTATTGAGTTGACTTGTTTGGTGCCAGTAACATTGAGTAAAATTGTACAGTTTTAATAAAAAATTTGCTTTTTTTATTTTTGTCTTTTCCAGCTAACGGATAAAGTGATCTTATTCATAAAAATTGAAGAGGCTAATAATGCCGAATCAGGACGACAGATCAAAATAGAATAATTGCTGAAAGTCAGGTTTTAATAACAAAGCATTGATTTGTGGTTTCAAACCCAAATACTCGTAGCTTAATTTGCGTTGAAATTTGTGTAAAATTTATACATAGTTTTTGTTGTTTTCCGATGTCCTACTTTTTTTTTTATAGAACAGGGGGCAAACGGGCAGGAGGCCTGTTGTAGGGATGTTACGTGATACCGCCGCGCCGCCCATGTACATTCACATTGCGCGAAGGCTCGCAAGTGCGTTGCCGGCCTATTAAGAATTGCTACGCTCTTTTCTTCAAGGACCCTAAGTCGAATTTGTTTGGAAATACTTCAGTGGGCAGCTGGTACCACATAGTGGTGCTGCGCGGCTGCCTTAAGAAACGCTCAGTTGTGGTACGGACGTCAAGGTGATACGGATGGTATTAAAGTTTTGATTGAAAACATAAATTCTTTATACAGAACGTAAATGATTTTAAAAAACATTAACTGCTAGCCTCCAAATCAAGAGCATCGACAAGAAGAACTATGAATTGTTTGTCCCCCATTGTTTTTCATTTTTTTTACAAGATACTCGATAGGAGCTAAAGCTGTTTCACCTTTTATATTATACGAGTAACTAGCGGACCCTACAGACGTTGATCTGTCTTAGCTTTGAATATGGATTTTAAATTGGTTAAATTTCTTTGATGATATTTGCAGCACGCATTCTGTTAATGTTATGTCAAACGCCATAAAGTTACATCAAAAAAGTTTGAATTGTATAGTGGTTAAGTATTCTCAAATTTTCTAATTTTCCGCGCAATTTTCTAAATTTTTTCTTTCAAAAGAACTTTGTCCTGACAATAACAAACACAACAAAAAAGGAGTTAGCGAAATCGGTCCAGCGGTTCAAGCGTAATGCCGTGACCAAGGGAAATAGGGATTCTTTTTTATATGTATACAGCATGTAGATAACATAAGATTTTCAAAGACCACAGATTAGGACTGAATAACTTATGGAGAGATAATGTAACCCCTCTGTATAGCACTCAAAGGAAAGGTCTAGAAGAAAGAAATGAAGAATAAAATACTTTCGCCTTTTTACAAATTTAAACGGGCAAGAGTGTCACCCGATGTTAATTGATACCACCGCCCATGGACACTCTGAATACAAGCGGGCTCGCAAGTGTGTAGCCGGCCTTTTAAGTATTAGTACGTTCTTTTCTTGGACTCTAACACCTACTCTATCGTCTATCTACTCTTGAATTTGTACGCTGTGGAGAAAAGAGCCTGATGAACTTTATTTGTGAATAAAGAAAAACGATGGTTACAATAAAAAATAATAAGTACCTATAATATGCAAGCTACTCGTGACTGGCTGCGTTGGCTGGCAATTAGCCTTGGAAACGTTAATTATCCGTCTGTATAGAATCGATTTTCTGATTCGCATGTTAAAATACTCTATCGTAGATAGATCAAAGAGAACTTGCTAATAATATGATGTTACAAATTTTAAACGAACTAGTGATAATGTTGGATAATATGCAGGTAGCGTTACTCGCAAGGTCTCATATGTGTCATAAATAGAGTTCCTTTATTTAATTTAAGGTGCATTTAGAAAAGTAAGGGTTTATTTTAGTACAAGACAATGAAATTATGTATATAAAAAAAATTTTTTTTTTGTAAGATTCTTCATTACCTATCTTTCTGTACGTAATGACTGGGCATCTCAAAGACTCAATCAAATCTATCCCAAATAATATTGTAGCGTTAAAGCGTTTTGTATAAATCTTACAAGTCCTAACAGCAAGTAACTTTCCCGCAAATTGGATTACGTCGTGTTGTTTACTAAAACAACCGAAACGAAGCTAAACAAACCGTACCAATTTAAATTGGAATTAACCGAACAAGAAACAGGCGCAAGAATTTATTTCTGTACGTTAACTTCAATCTAATAAGGATAAAAATTTATGAGTATCTTACAGATAAAATATTGTAAATAATATGTTGGAAAACCGCTGTGGTTTGTATAAATGTAACCATAACAGTCTTGTTTAGGAACGTGACAAGTAGTTTGTTTAATTTACTTATTATGTTGCTAACGTTAGTCCATCTATTAGCCGCGGTAGCAAATACCTCGGCGTTCTCTCACCGTAAATGTTGTTTGATCTCGTATACAGAGCCGAACTTTCCTTACCGCTCGGGTACGTTTTGTCATGGTCCAATAAATTTATATGTACTGAAATTCATAACAGCAATGCTTATCTAAGTTATCCATACTGTACATAACTTAAATAATGATATGATACGAATGTATGTATACATACTCAGAGCCTAGGCTACAGTTTTCCAGGACTAAATAATAGCGGATTAGAATGGGAGCTTAGTAGAGAAGGCTTAAGATATTATCTGTGGCGACTAGCGCACAAAAATCATTTAACCGTTTTTAAAAAAATAACACAATCATTTATTAAAATTAAAATATTCATGACGAATTAACGAAACCAAAGTGCTATAATATCTGTGTTCATTTCTGAACTTCTGTATTTAGACAACACAACTAATATTTTTATAGTGTTTAAATTTAGATTTACGACATAACGTTAACAAGTTTTATTTTCTATTTCCGGTTCAGCTACGCAGACGCGCTTCAATGAAATTTTAAAGGCTTCGTTGAAAGGAGATAATCACTCATATTAATTAGTTAAAGATTTAAAAATATAATTTTTATGACAATAATAATTTCCTGTACTAAATGTAAAAAACACTTATTTCGGTACACCCAATATAGAGAGCTGAACTATCCGGGAATCATAAGTAAAATGTTATATAGAAAGTAAGAACTAAGAAAGAATTGTTTGTATCATTGCTTTTTGTTGTTTGATTTTCTTTAACATGTGTTTCTAAATCCACAGCACTTAAATTTATAGCATTTACTAGCTGATCCGGCAAACGTCATTTTGTCATGTATATCATTTATAATAAAAAATAGGGGTTGATCGTAGAGGGGTGAAAGTTAAGGGTTGTATGTATTTTTTTATGCTGTATCATAAAAAAATAAAAAATAAGTAATTTATCTAAAAATTTAAACAAATAATTTAGGGGTGGACTACCCTTAACATTTAGGGGGATGAAAAATAGATGTTGTCCGATTCTCAGACATACACAATAAGCACACAAAATTTCATGAGAATCGGTCAAGCCGTTTCGGAGGAGTATGGCAACGAAAACCGTGACACGAGAATTTTATATATTAGATAATTTATTATTTTGTAGTATATGAGTGAGTAAAAATAATATCCTCTATTATTTGAAGCATCCCGTTGACCCAGGAATCGTCGTGTCGAATGTAATATGATGTACTTTTTATAAGAATAAGATTTTAAATGACAAGCGATGTTGATCCTATATAATAATTTCATAAGTATCTTCACTTTCCACGCTAAACAAAATAAACACTAAAATTTTGAATTTGAAGATCTAAATATTAGATTGATTTAGATGTTTTCCAAATTTACTTAGGATAATAACGTATTAATATTCACCTGCCGTCAGAAAGTAGAAAAGGCTTTTCGACTGCGACGCGAGGTGGCGCTGGCTCCACGTTCTCTGAAAACACTTTGAAATAATTCTCTGGAGAATTCGTTATGACCTTCTTTGATGAATTTATTATTTTTTGTATTACCTAATGAATCATGCATTTGTATTTATTACACCTAAAAAGGATATATTTTAGAATGAGAAGATTTTAAGTTTTCTTTGCTTCCTTCACTCTTTGATGGTATAGAACTCGTTAAATTAATTATGATAAATCTAAAGCCACCGTTAACACATGTGTGAGTATCCCACCTAATGGCTACAGTTCAAAGTTTCACTTGGTGACTGTCTCAGGCTCACTTTGCACTTATAAAAATATACACTAATTTAAAAACTAATAAATATAAAATTATTAAATTGTGGTGGTTTTTTTGAGTGAATAGTTTTTCAGCGAGTCCTGTGGGACAGGAAAACTATAATTTATTCTACGTTTCGTGTATATGCCACGCTTCACTTCACTAACTACAAAAGCTTGTGAAATCCATTTGATGTGGTTTTCAGAGTTGAACCACAACTTACCAATTTCCTCTTTCTGTCGACTGCTTTGGTCCGGTTGCAATTTTGTTTTTGCTTTAAGTCTGAAAATGTGCAGAACATTTTAATTATGTTTTAAATCTTTATTTGTTCAAATAAGATACTCTTAGAGAGCATACAAAAAAATGTCAGTTAAATGAAAACAGATTTAATTTGATTCAAGACATATTTATTAATTAAAAAATATATATAAATATAATACTCTATATTTTATAATTATTTAATAAAGAGAATACAATTGACATAATTAAATTAAAAGAAGGGCAACTGGCGTACATATATTGTTTAATATTAAAGTTAAATTTGTGTGATATTACAACTCGTTAATATATAATGAAAGTTGTATAATTTTCACGTATAATCATTTATTACGTACTGGAACAACGTTCATAACTATTAATCAAATATTAAAGAGTTATAAATTTAGAGGATTACAGATATGCCGAACAGACGCAAACATTTCTAACACATACGAAGTAATACGTAGTCTTTTGGTTGCACCAATATCTGCAATGTGTTTAAAATAGCTTCGGGTAATATTTTATTTTATTAATTATGTATGTATACAAAAATAGTGATAAGTTTACTAGAATAGAACATACGCACAATGTTAATACACGGAACAAACGCAGGCTGCAATTTCCCCGTACTAGACTATCTAAAGTTAGTAATTCTTTTTTGGGAAAAGGAATACTCTTCTTTAATAAAATCCCAGAGGCTCTTTTATCTCTGCCTTTCAATAAATTTAAGAAATGTATTAAACAAAAGCTGGAAAAAAAAGGCTGGGCTAGGCTGACAGTTATCTTCCCCGTACTAGGACTAATCTAAGAAGTGGAATAGTGAATGTTCTTATGTTCCTTAAAATTTTTTGAAAAGGAATAAAAAAAGGAAAAGAAAAGAATAGCGAATCGCATATTCTTTAATAAGAATTTGAACCTGACATGATGCAATGCTCTTTTATCTCTTAATGCCTTTCAATAAATTTAAGAAATGTATTAAACAAAAGCTGTGTAAAAAAAAGGCTTACTATAAAGTCAACGATTATCTAGTTGATAAAAGGGCCTGGGACTAGTGCTAAACAGGCTAAAAAAAAAAAAAAAACCCAAAAAAAAAAAAAAAAAAAAGGAAAAAAAAACAAAAAAACCCCCAAAAAACACAAAGGTTTGAAGTAGACTTCTAATTAATTTGTGATATTGTGTTTATTAAAATAAGTGTTGTTTGACGATTTAGCATATTTTAAAAATTTTTACCTACGGGAAGGCTTTTCCTCTTCGGCCTACACCCTCTATCTTCTTTGCCGATGAGTAGGGATGCCTACAAATTCAAATTTAATGACGTGGAATAAATCAAAAACTGATACATGTAAATCTTATGTTCCTTAAATATTTTTTTTTTTTTTTTATTTATAATAGTACCCACATTCGGGATTAGGTAATTACGGTTAGAATGGTACGCTCTTGTCTTGAAAAATTCCTAAGCCGTATTGTGTAATCGAAAACTATTTTTAATAATAAATATTTGTATGTTTTTTGTGGTAATGTGCTCTTGTTTGCATTGGTTCGGACAAAATCTTTACTGACAGCTGGTGCGCGGCAGAATGTTTCTTAAATCTGTTCTAGAATGCCAGGAGTCAATGTGAAAAGGATTGAATTTCTGTTGGTGAATTTGTTTATATTTCAAAAGTTTTGCCACCTAAGCTAGGTAGTTTGAACTAACTACGCATTAAAACTTTCATTCGTAATACGTTAAACTTGAATTAATATTTATGTTTAAGTCATGTTGATTCCTTTAAACAAATCTCTAAACTAAAATTAGGTCAGCTTACAGCATATCATAATCGACACCATTACATAATAATTATTAATAAGTTGAAGTTATTAAAATAGGAGCTCCTTCATAATTATGCAAGGCAAAGTGCATCCAGAAGGACCTGGTCGCAGACGCACGTCTTGGTCAAAGCACCAAGTCATTGTTCAGAAGCGCGGCATCCAAAATTAATATATGATGATCGCCAACTTTCTAAAGGTGATGGCCGTATACTCTATATTCATAGTAAAGTTTAAAGTTAAACTAATAAATCAGTATAAAGTGTTTTGTTTTATGATTTATTTAGATATTTAAGCGGAACGAGAGTTTTTATATAGGTTAGAGATTTAAGAATGGATAGGAAATGGATTGGAGAAATATTGCAAAAATCACCTTATCGAGATATTCGTGTTGAAATCCTTTATTCCTGATTTAAGTTACGCAAACATTATGTATGACAGAATCTTTCCGTTTTTTTTGTCAGCAAAGCCATATCATATTTCCATCTTTTCAGCTTTACTCACGGACACTTTCACTTTATGCATTAATTGCTACGAGTTTTTATTATTTGATCTTTATCTCTAATAACTACACAATTTAACACTTGTATTTAAATATAATTCAATAATTTACAACTTATAATTAAACGCGTAGATAAAAAGTTTGGTGACAAAAACTTTTGTTTTAAATATTACCTACTTTCCGTACATTTTAAAACTTTGTGCTACCAAGTTGAGCTATATATTATGTACACGGTAACATGAAAAGTAGACCCGAATTCCGAATATCAAAGTATTAAAATGACTCCTTCGTATATTTATCAATTGAATTTTACCACAACAAACATAATATTATATCTAAGGTATATGTTACATACAAACTCTTTTATCTTATATGTATGACAATTTAGGTAAACAGTAATGTTACAAAAAAAATTCAATTAAAATATGTTCAAGATAAAATAAAAATACCATTAATTTTATGTTAAGCAGAAAAAAAATACCAGCAACACAGCGGATTACGTTCGAGATAGGCACTTAAAAACGCCTTCTTTAAAACTGATCAGCCGAATATATCAAGCTCCGGATAAGTACCTACTGTTTAATCCGTTATAATCGCGAATTCGAGAGGTGCCTGAACTCCTATGATGGTTTTTGCACCTTAAAAAACATGACCCTGCAGTTTTTCTACAATGTTGGTACTATAACTTATCGTATCTAGACCAACTGAATATTGTCTATTGTCTTATTCTGTCTATTACAGGCTACTAGGCTTTGGCGATTTAAAAGAGTGGCGGAGAGTTTATTGCCAGTTCTTCTCTTCCGTTCTACGCCCTTGATTTGAGAACTGGCAGTAAATGTAAAATTAGAGGCATTTAATTTATATTTCTTGTTTGACGTTCATAAGTGTACCTATATGAATAAATGATTTTGACTTTTGACTTTTTTATTATCATGGGATGCTAAGAAAGGGTGCGTAATTTTACGGCAATACGATTCTTTCATCTTGCACTAGATAATAATAAAAAATACACGGTCTGGTTTATAAGTGACGGGAGAGACACCAGGAGAAGCAACCACAGTAGGTAAATTGCTGCTTTTACTAACTAAATACTAAATAGAAAGAGCCATTCATACATCGTTTAAAAGCCAATGCTATCGGGTGACTTTATACTTGCAATGTATAGTTATATTTTCGGAGATGGATTAGTAAGCAATATTCTTATTCTTGATTTGGCTCTGACGAGGCATCAGGGGACGTAATATTCTCCACACAACAACACACAAGAAACGTTAAGGAAAACTCTTGTAAACTCAGATTATAGAAGAACAGCGATTTTGCCACGAACGTGTAGTAAATAAAAAAACGATGGAAATGTAGTGTAATGTATATTGTGTATGTGTATGGAAAATCGTATTTCAATACAATTAAATAAGTTTTTGACAAATATCATTACAATATTAATAATTATTAACAGTTCACTACTCAGCTGTGCTATGAGTGTATAAATAAAATAAAAAAGCTTTTGATTCCTTGACTTTTACACTGTTTTCTTACTCAACGTAAGTAACGTAACGTAATATTAATCTTATTCTGATTATAATATAATATTATCCTATCACAACTAATGTTACTTTAAAATGCATTTCCATAGTAATCTAGCTCTTGTTGGAATCCCTTATTGGCTATTTGTTTCGGTCGTGTCAGGTTTCTGTTTGGGCCAGCTATTATTTTGATAACGTCTTCCTATCAAATCAGTGGTCTTTCTCTGGCAGAGGAAAATCTTCCTTATGAATGTATATGAAAGATGTTTTCGATGGATGTTGACGAGATTCTATTAATTTACAAAAAAAACATTCAATTTTACGTACTGTTAATTATTGTAACATTTTGAAATTTTATCCTTTTCTATCTATCAAAACATTACTTACAAACTTCCGTCAGCCGTAACAAAGTATCGATATTTTACAAATTCATGTGATCATTCCTGTGTAAAATTTCCAATGATGCGTACATTTACGCTTCAAGGTTGTTTTTAGTTTAACAGAAGTATTAGCATTTAACGACCTATGAATTTGTTTTATAGACACATTTTTAAGTAATTATTGTAGACTTATATTTGCTAAAGAAATTGATTTATAATCAAATATTGTACTATATAAAAAAAATAAACAAGTCAAAGTCAAAATAATTTATTCATTTAGGTAACAAAATGTACACTTATGAACGTCAATAAAAAAATTCATGCTTCTAATTTTACATTTAATAGGCAAGCAGGTGATCAGCCTGTGCCTGACGCACGCCGTCGACTTTTTGGGTCTCCTTCACCGTTCGAGCGAATGTTAAATGCGTACATAGAAAGAATCCATTGGTGAACAGCCGGGTATCGAACCTACGTCCTCAGGGATGAGATTCGCACGCTGAAGCCTCTAGGCCAGCGTGCTGCGTGGAGCGATGATCGTACTAGGCCGATCCAACAGCAATCGTTTGCGATCCTGATTGGCTGCTCCATCACGCTCCTGCCGATCCATACTGAATCAGATGAACTTTGTCTGGCTATGGAGTCACATGTGCAACGACGGCGACAAATAGCCGTAGCAGCAACAAGCTAAATTTTACTTGTATATTTACGACAAAAATTACGAAAACGAATAAGACAGTATTGGGTTAAAACAATGCTTAAAAACCGGTTGGAATATGGCTTTACAAAGAGTTAATTGTTCATGAAGTTGAAGCTAATTTTTCACGAATTACTGCAGATCATTTTGACTTATTGTTCTTTTCCCTACTAATTTGCCGACAAGCATCTACTCTTACACTTTTATTTGTGTAATATCATTAGGATCCCATAAACGTTTATTCTCCCTATAAAGGTATAATAAACGAATACATTGCGAATTATCCATAACGGCGAATCACGCGATTCAAAATCACAACCGTCCACACCGCGTGTGCCAAGAGTTCCCTTTGAGCGTGAACAAAAACACCGACAACAAATGGATCGCACGCGGTGTGGAGCGCGCGCGACACGTCCACTCCGCCTGTACATTTGGATCGCGCTCAAGCCGCGCGCGATCCGAGCGCGATGGATCGTCCGGTGTGGATGCGGCTATACAGATTTACCCCCTTTTTTTAAACCTAAATCAGTCTAATTGCTTTTAACTCAAGTATTGCTTCATCTCTTTCTATTAAATTGTGTTCACGCTGTGTTGAAAAGAAACAAAGGCGTCGTTCTTGTTGTATTGATAATAGGGTAGACAGTAGATAGGGCTCATATATGTTTCGTTATATTAAAACTCGCGCCCTCTACAACACAATAAAATGGAAATATATAGTGCATGCAACAGGGTTAATGTTATGGTAAAATAATTTGTAATGTAGTTGTTTTCTTCGTAACAAAAATACAAATATTTCCTCTATTTTTTATAGTTCAAGAGATGTACTGCAATGAAATTCTCTTGGCAATATAAAAATTAAAAGAAATAAGAACTTTTGTCATTCAATTCTTTTTAGTGCTCTTGGAGTCAGATTTAAAAAAATTACATTATTTTAGAAAAACCCGTCAGTTACTTTATTATAAATATTGATAAAGTATTTTTTTCTGTGTCATTATAAATTACTCGAAGGAAAAAGGTAAATACACTCTTTTGATTGATGATATTTGAACAAAGTTCCCGATACGTCATTCGTCATTTGTTACATGTATACGTGAGTGTAAACATAATATCTACTCTTGGTAATATATAAAACTAATGAACTTATTAATAATTTCCCAAGCTGTTTATTGTATTTACTGACGTTTGATCCTCGACAGAACGAACCTTTATTTTGTGTCCATTTCTTGTTATGGTATGATAAACTACAAAAAATATACAGCAAAAGTTTCGAAACGGTATACACTTATAATATATTACAACGTGAGTGAAAGAAGAGATATCGAACATTACTGAATATCAGAAAATTAAATAAATTTTTCCATTTTCTTCCAAACTTTTATAATTTTCCCGCAATTCGAACACCCAAATATGATTTATACAACGAGCCTGTTGCCGTGAGCTTTAGAAGTTTCAGTAATATTTTCGTCTTTATAAGGAAAATGTCAATTAGATTTATGTAAATGGTTATAATATAACTGTAACATTAACCTTGGCTTGTCAATAGCAATATCAATGTTAATTGAAATATTGTTTTGATTAAACTATAGTTATTAAATCGTATAATGGAAATTGTGCATACTCGATGTTTAATTATTTTTACAAAATATAAAATATATCCCAATTTTCGGAAATATTTCGTTTTCATGCATTTCTCTGCTGATACTTAAAGATATAATATAATATAAATCAAAATTCGTATTCGATCGAATCTGAGACTCTAATCCGTTTTTATTTTGTTTTTATATTAATTTTCTTTTGGTTATATTATTTTTGTTCCCTGGGATACAGGCTTTAAGATACACCGATAATTTTAGCATCTGATCTATATCTGTGTGTTTGGTGTCTGTTACGTTGCCTTGCGTAATAAAATAATATTTTAAATGTGGTTTTAGACAATATAGTTACCTGAGTACGTTGTGATGTGCCAGCGCGCTCAGGGCGTGGTGTGTGGTGTGGGGAGGCAAAACAGGTGGCTGGTGTCGACCTGGACCTTGAAGCACTCGTATTCCCATACGGACTGTGTTGCGACGTGAAATTTTCTCATCGATTTGATCCGCTGAAAATAAAATTGTATTAAAGTGCCTGGAATGGAATTTACTGTAAAAAAATTTAACCCTGGAAATAATGATGTATATAATTAAACAATATTTTGTTTGTTCTGACAAAATTATATATCCTACCCATTAAAAAAACTAATTTTTCTATATTTCAACATTAACCATCTTTTCTAATTCGAAATATTTTTTGTGATGACACAGCATTTATTAAAACCTACCTAGTCGTTTACATTTTTATAGCTCTTAATTAGAATTAATATGTAGTTAAATTGTATATTAGTGATTTGGACATAAATTATATATAGATGGGAGTAGAACGGAAAATAATTTTTTAAAGAATTAACTTAACTTAATGAAATTATCCATTAATATTCTTTATCAACTGAATTTTGTAAACAGTTCATAATATTCGTTTTATGTTACCTAGATTTTGAATTTTAGAATTTAAGGCTTTTGTTCATTAATATTTAAGACGCTTATAGTCTCCATTGGCAAGCAATAATATTAAGAAAGTTTATTTAAATGGAAAAGTCAAATACATCAAAGATTTTTGTTTATCTAAGTATGTCTTACGAGCCGGCGTGTGTTTCGTTGTCGAATAAAAAGAATATTCTAGAATGGCCTTTGATTTGAGATTAGATAGTTAATCGAAATTTAGCATAATTTATTTTATAGACATTCATAAGTGTCGTTACCTCATACCTCATACCTCATGAACGTGAACATCATAAACAGTTAAAAGAAAAAAAAACAAAGTATTAATAATCTTACCTATATAAGCCCGAACATCATAAGAAGTCCCAATAGGTGCACCATTGTATTGTTTAGCTGGCACTAATTGGACGCTAGGTGGCGCTAGGTGGGTTAATTCCAAGTGGAATGGAAACGCATAGTCTCCTAAACGCTTTATAAGTGCCTCCTGAGAAATGTCACTTCAATATTATAATCGATCGTGAATAAATGATAATTACATACATAAATTATCAACTTAGTAGTCAATTATGTAAATTGATAGTTAACGTTTCAAAAGGAAAGAAATATCAATCTTCTGAGTTAAAGCATCGCTTTGCATCCCGTTTTTAATTGGAAACATTTAATTAAAAATTACCTTAACCGTTTTAAATTCTAATTTAACTACCGATTTTGAAAACATTTACAGCGCATGAAAGAAAAAAATTCTGTATTATTTTTGGCCATTTTCATTAATTATTGAAATGAATTAACATAGAATTATTAAAATTCTATATTAAAGATATAGGAAACAAATCAGGATGAGTAACGCGTTCACCGTTACAGGGTTTATATATTTTCCAATATCTAATGAAGAAATTGAGGTGTTGCTTGAAAAATTCCATCAGATCGCATTCCCGCGTGACAATATCAAACGAAGTTTCTCGTATGCCATTCCATAAACATAATTAAGATCCAAAGATGAAATAAACTATCCTACACGAGTTTCCATACACAGTAAACTTCATTTAAAACTCGCACCAAAGTGCAACATTCGTTTAAAATAAATTAATAAACTAGTTTCTTGAAAATTTGTAAATTCTACCAGTGTAACCAATTAATTTTTCACACCAACTTAGAGATTCAATCTTTAATTGGGGCAGGGACCAATGGTTAAGATAAAGATTAAAACAAACTTTTGTTCCCCTGCTAAAATACTTGGCTTTTTAAATACTTTTCGGAGCCTATAATTTAAAGCATTTTGGAAAATCGAGCCGCCTTTACCGCCGTCGCTTTTCGATACTTTGATTTATCAACCGATAATCTCAATGGATAAAAGATTTCGCTCCTGTATTAATTACTTCGAAATACGCCACGATATCCTTTGATACGTAGAGATTAAAAGACAAGAAGAAAATGTTTCGGGCTCCGTTTAAATTAATTCATCGTAGCCTCTATATTACATTAATAAATAATTGACAACCTCATTTTTTAATCTTCAATACAGATTTTTGGAGTTAGTTTGGGTGTTTAAATTAAACATTAATATGACCCAGCAGAGTTTTAACTATATTTAAAAAAAAATTTGAGAAGCAATAAAAAGATGCTTATTTTTATACTACCTACGATTTTTTTATTCACGTTAATCGGGGACACTTAAAACTTCCCTGGGTTAATCATTATGTACAATTTTAATAGGATGTTTTACATTGTTTTTGTGTCATTAAAACTACATCAAAAATGCAAAGTAGTGTGCCGTAGATAATTGTAATTGTTATTTGACTGGACTACCAATAGGCCACAATTTAGGGCGACTACTACTAAAAAGGACAGGCATTACCTGAAGTGCTGAATTCGGTTGCTTGTCGTGATTGCAATGCACAGGCCAGATCTGAGTGAGACTCATTATTGCTTCATTACAGAACTTAAGCCCCATTACTTCTTCGTCTTCGCGACCGTATCTGTTCAATACACAAGGGAACAAAATTATACTTATCTGTTGTATTAAATTGAGGTAGCCGATTATGAATCTTCATTTTATAGCAGCATTTACAAGGTGTTTCATAGCGTACACATTAAAATGATGACGCACAAGAGCTCAACAATATTAAACGATTTTCAAAATTTGAATTAAATCTATTAAGCCGTTTGGTCACAATAATGTTTTTTTTGTTTTCAACAAAAAACATCTGTAAACGTATAAATACAATGGCTAGTTCCCATTGATAATTTTTATAAGCGAGTTTGCCGTTTTGTGATAGAAAAGTAAGGAAATATATTTCTATCCCTTGTCCTGCCCTACGTACCTATCAAACGTAAACCTATTGAATGATTACAAAGATACATTTAAGTACTACACGGCACTCATTAGATATAGTTGATATACATTTAAATATTCACATGACACTTCCGAACATATAAAAAGTAAACAATTCTCTCGCTACTTCATCACGTGTAGGTGGTTCGATATCGATGTCAAGTGGCCTGAATGGTGGGGATGTGTCTTGCGGGGCACCAGACGTGAATAATACTACGGGACGAAAGGTTTCGTCAAAGTGCTTACGCCATCGTCGTAGTTGCCCTTCTGATGTTATGAAAAGCTGAACGTCTTTTGATTTTAGAGGTTTCTTACGCTGACATTACATCAAAAAAAAGTTAACTTTTAAATTATATTGTTTAAAGTAGTTAAAGTATTGCACATATATGTTTGGTGAAAATTACCTAAAGGTCAGCGTCACTTGTCCAAATAGCTTCTTGTTTTCCATATTGCCCGACTCCACGTGTAGAACACCCTGTATTTTATCGATACTCCCGTTTTCCACCACCAAGTCACGTGACGCCAGGTACATTGTCAGCTTGTTGTTGGGCGATGACTTTTTGAACACCCTGTAAACAGTTGAATTATTAAAATTAATCTACGTTTAGAACAAATAAATAGACGGCTTTGAGTGTTCCATAAATAAGACAACAAAAACCAAACGGGTGCATACAATGCAATACGAAACGTGTCCATGGTAACGCACTTTTTGGACTTCCAATAAAGCAATCTACACCAAAGCTTTTTCTCAGTAAAATTGACCTAATTAAAAATATAGTAGTTTAATAGGAAATAACCTGTATTTATTACTTTGAATTTTAATTTTTATCCTTTAAATGGCACTCCTGAGCCGGTAAGTTAATAATTGGTGATATAAAATAATGCCAACATTGCTAGCTATTGCTAAACGGATTGTTATTTGTTTAAGAAACTAATATTTTTATATCATTAAATTAAGAATATTTCAAACTGGCGGACCCGACAGACGTTGCCTTAGCTTTGAATATTGATTTCGAATTGGTATAATTATCTATGCAGCTCGATAAGGCAACATTTATATATTATATTGTTGATTTCGATTCCATCGATTCCGTTCAACTTCATTCCTCGTTGCGCGTTCCTCGTCGGTTTGACTTGCAGCATTGCGAGTTCTGCGACTGTTTGTGCGTCTAATTGCTGGCATTTTTTAAAACGGAAATTCATCTGTAAATTCAATAAAACTATTGTATTCTTCTTTATAACCAAGTATACCAAGTGTTATGTTAGTCTATCCAAATCGAACTTTTAATAGCGTGATAGCTCTGAACTAACAGTGATGTGCACTAAGAAATTCATTTTTTGTTAGAAATCATAAATTAATTATTTTATATGTATCAAAATAATAACTCCGATCGAAGCATTTGTTTTAAACGAAATTCATTTTTCTTACATCCTCTTTGACGATATTTGCAGCTCGCATTCTGTCAATGTTATGTCAAACGCCATAAGGTTACATCAAAAAAGTTTAAATTGTATCGTGGTTAAGTATTCTCAAATCAATAACACACACAAAAAAAAAATTAGCGATATCGGTCCAGCCGTTCAAGCGTGACGGGATTAATTTTTATATATATAGATTATGCTTCTAATTCTTCTTCTCATGCTTGCAGTCTTCATTAGTGTGTTGAAGTACCCTAACCAATACGTTAATAAGCTATCTCGACACTGATAGAGATAGTTGACTTAATTTGGTCAGACCAACAGGTAGGCAATCGTTGTGATGATCTTTCTACTTATACGTAAATTACTAATACGAGTTCACTGAAGGAACCATCGCGAGGAAACTGGCAGGTCTAAAAACCCACATGAGGCAAAGAAGACCGATATGGAATTCAGAAGTACACAAGTAGTCACAATATTATCTTCATTAATGTGTAAATATTTGGATGTGTATTTTTCCTCTTCAGATCTTGGAAAAAAACGCTATATTAGACAAAAAAGTCGTTTAAGGTAATTTCGGTGTTTTACGAGAACACTGGTGAGTGAACTTTTGAACCAGTAATCCCCAAAAAATAAACGCTGTAGTAAAAAAAACCTCGTAAACACGAATATTTTTTATTTTATTTTCTATACACCTTTACACACGACTTCATTACTTACACTACTAACTTTTACTATATTTTTTTCTACTAAGTATTATTACATTCCTTTTCTTTCTTTTTTGCGACTGAGGCGCAAACTAGCTGCTGTGGTCTCTGGCAGAATGACCAGCGCTGTGGAACATTCTGCTCATCAGCATAATGCTGAGCCAGGGCCAATTACAACCACAGCACACACGCATTACACACTTGAAACGAACCGAATGGGAAAAGGGAAAAAAAAATATTTTTATATCTCTCATTATATTTTTTATTTTATTTTTTTCTTTGATTCATCTTAATTTGTGTGTTTATGTATGTGTGTTTTTGTTAGTAGTGAATGTTATGTCCATGTCTTATATTATAATACATCTTTATAAGAGAAAATATTCTCAAGTTTTGACGTTTACCACTGGTCCCTTCACAAGTTATGAAAGGAAGGAGAAAACTTTCAACGACGCTTCATTTCCCTGTTTGGAAATGGCTTTGTAACAAATGCAATATTTTCATTAAAATGGTGACATTTAAGTATAAGATATTTCAATATCTTAGTAATATCATATATAGTATCTAGTCATTGTAAAATGGTCAAATACAGAACAGTAACCTCTTACAGGCCATTAACATTCATTCCCCAGGTTTAATATCAGCAGAATTTTTCCAAATTCCGTCTGCAAAAACTAAAACAGGAGTTCAGGCACCTCTCATTGGAAGACTTTGCGTATATAACAGAATAAACACTACATATCCATATATTAACATATTTGTTTTATTATGTAATAGGAGGCTAATGGGCAGAAGGCTCATCTGATGTTAAGTGATACCACCGCCAATGAATACTTACTTATATTATCTGTTAATTACATAATCCGCTGTTATGCTAGTAATTTTTACCGTATTTATTAAAATACAAAAAAAAATTGTTTTTCATAAATGGTATCTATTTTAGAAAAGATAGCTTGTTAGGGCTCATTTACACGAACGGCACGATGTCAATGGCAAAGGCAACAGCCGGCACCTGTCGGCGGCAGCCGTCCAAGCATCGGCGGTAGTCGTCGACCTATGTTTGTGTTCGTAGCGTGCCGTGTCCTTTTGTCAGTTGACTGCAAATAGTTTAGGAGTGCGCGTTTCGATTTTATAAAATGATCTTCAGTGACAGTATTGATGTTGAAATGCTTATTGTGGCAGTAAAGAAAAATGCTTGTATTTGGAATTATAAACTTTGAATTATAAAGAAGAGTACAGTAACAAAACAATGAACCACAATGCGTTGAACCCACAATGTTTGTGTGTTTTTTTTTTTTGTTTTTGTCGATGTCGACAGAGTAAAAGCAATAATAGTGTTTCTTCATTTTGCCAACTGGCTCCTGTACAAAGAGAGACTACGATGGCTGCCGTAGAGCTTCGATTTTGTCATATTGACGTGTGCAGTTGCTTTGCCGCCGGCGTGCCGCTCGTGTAAATGAGCCCTAACATATACTGTAGATATAGCATTATGTATTATATGTATTATTAATAAATAAATAAAAATAGTAATAATCTATTGATGTTAATAATTTGCATTAAAACTGGATGAAGTCGTGAAAATGCAGCTAATATTTTGACTATCATTTTTGATACGAGTATTTATACCGATGCCATAATTAAGCTCTCTTCGTTAAAAAATAATTGTACAGCGGCGTACGACCGAGTACGTTGTACGATTTTCCCAATTCTAAAATGTCCTTCAATGTGAAAACTTTTACTCTGTGACTCTTAACATAGATAGATTCGGTCCTAAGTTAAGACTTCCAGCTCGATTTGCCGATTAGACCTACAACGCCGAAAGAAGTCGTGGCAACAATCTCAAAATTGGAGGACAAAAAGGCTCCCGGGTTTGATTAATAGACAAAAAAGTTTTGAAGGAACTTCCCAAAAAAGCCATCGTTTTTCTAACCATCTTATTTAATGGCGTAATGAGAACTGGACACTTTCCATCGCCGTGGAGAGTCTCACAAGTAATTATGATACCTAAAGTAGGGAAGCCAGTGAAAGAACTTAGCTCATACAGGCCGATTAGTCTGCTAACCGTAACGTCAAAACTTTTTGAGTCGGTCCTACAGCACAGATTATTGGAGGAGATTCATCAAAGATCCATTATCCCGGACCACCAGTTTGGTTTTCGCCAGCAGCATGGCACTGTGGAACAAGTCCATAGAATCTGCTCTGTAATAAGGAAGGCACTAGAGAGAAAGGAGTACTGCTCCTCTGTCTTCCTAGACGTGCAGCAAGCGTTTGATAGAGTATGGCACAAAGGTCTCTTGTATAAAGTAAAAACTCTTTTACCCTGGACATTCTTCCCTATCTTAAAATCTTATCTAACAGAAAGAATATTTTAAGTAAGAGAAGAAGATTGTACATCGCCATTTCACTCAATCAAAGCTGGTGTACCGTAGGGGTCTGTCCTGGGCCCAGTCTTATATACCATTTACACATGTGATTTACCACAAAGCGAACACGTCACATTAGCAACATTCGCAGACGATACTGCTGTACTGGCATGTAGTAATAGCCCAATCGAAGCTTCAGACTTCCTACAGATTGGATTGCAAGAAATTGAAACCTGGCTTTCGAAGTGGAGAATAAAAACTAGTGTGACAAAATCTGTTCATGTAACCTTCACTCTCCGTAGAGGAGACTGTCCGCCACTCTGTGCAATAAACAACTTCCGCAAGAAAACTGTGTAAAATACTTGGGAATACACCTTGATAGGAGAAATCAACCTGAAATACAGAGGACTCTACTGGCTACTTGGCAGAAATTCCAAACTGTCAGTAGATAATAAGCTACTCACCTACGAAATGCTCTTGAAACCAATTTGGACATACGGGATTCAACTATGGGGTTTGGCGTGTGACTCTAACATAAGTTTCATACAGAGGGTTCAAAATTACATCTTGAAACAAATATCCAACTGTCCATGGTTTATAAAAACATCGGAGATTTATGAGCACCTCAAAATCAGGACTGTCAAGAGGAGTTCAAGACCTGGAGTATGAAATACAATACAAGTATGAAAAAGGCTAGAAATGCATCCTAATAAGCTTGCCACGCAACTAACCATATCGGACCTAATAAATAGGCTAAAAAGGCGACAAATCGTAAGTCTTGATAGACACGGTTGAAAGAGAGGAGCAGTCTCGATGGAGATTTTGCTCTCAACGCCTAACAGCTCTCACCACATCTGCTCATAGTCTAGCTGACTGATTGCAAGATAAAGACTTAAAAAAAAAACTTAACAGTCATATTATTATCATCATTCATAGTTTAACGCCATTTACTTTGGGCATACAGTGTGATCGCTAGGACCAAAATTTTTAATTAAATCACTAAAAATACCAAAGACAATTTAAAGACTACTACTACTAGGACAACACAGAAAGAGTTATCTTTGTTGTAAATCTTTGAATAGCAAGTTTATTCTTGAAATATATAAATGGGACAATATTTATTATAATAATTGAACACGGACTTAGGGGACCAGGACTGCAGTCCCCTCAGAATAAAATAAATTAAATGATAAAAGAATCTATAATTCGTTTCAAATAAATGATTTATTGGAAAACTCGACTGCAGAAATCGTCTGATACTTTTTTTTTGCCTGGAACAGATTGCTTTTTAGCAATAAGGCCGTCGGTTGCATTATATTTTTTTTACGTTATCACCATGTTAATTATTATGTGCAATGGAGTTAGTGAGTAAATAAAGTTTAAGAAAATGACAAAGCAAACCTTTGGGAGTTCAAAGCGTTGTCTGGAGTCATCTTGTCAATCTGTAACAAAAAAAATATATTTATTATAAAAAAATACTAATAGTATTGCGGTTCCTAGAATATGTGAATTTTATTTTAACGAAGTGCCTTTTTTGTAAAAAGTATTGTTCCATCTAAGTACTGGGGGACTCCCGGATTATTTTGATTCGATTCGGGAGGAAGAAATACATAGTTATATATTGTATAAGAAAGTCTTCATACCCTATATAGAGAATGAATTGGTAATAAATATGGAATTTGTCTATTAAGCCTACAGTGCTTCACACACGCCGTCTACTTTTTAGGTCTAAGGCAAAGTGGTTTCCTCACGATGTTTTCCTTCATCGTTCGATGGAATTTTAAAAGCTCATATAGACAGAAAGTGCACAACCGGGGATCGAAGCTAAGACCCCAGGGATAAGAGTCCTTGTAAATTGTACTATTTTTAAATACATGTATGGGAATATAAAACATTATTTGGATAACTCAAAAACAGTCAAAAATCATTTAATCCTATGGGTAACACAATGTACACTTATGAACGTCAAAAAAAGAAATGCATATGAAATGCTTCTAACTTTACATTTAGTGCCAGTTCTCAAATCAAGGGCGTAGAAATGAAGAGAAGAACTGGCAATAAACTCCGTCAAAAATATAACAAATTTGCGTTTCATGCCATTGACGGAAGCTTCAAATGTCTATACGTAAATCAGAGACAATATTAAAGAGACAATATGCAATTGGCAGACGATAACACATACAAATATAGGTGAGAATTCTAAACAGTAATTTGTATGCACAGTTACGTACTACGCAGTACAAAAGCGATTTCAACCACCTGAGATTTACATATAGAATTCATAATTTAGATTGGTAACAACGTTGGCGCCGAAAATTTGCACTAGCTGTTTCTTATAAAGGTGGCAAGTTGTCTGATGGTTGCGTTAGGAGGGGTCATTGACAGCCGTTATTATTCGTGTCCTAATCTAAAACTAATCTTTTGTAAGATTAAAGCTTACTAAAAAAAGGGTGCGTGTACTTAAGTACGCGCGTAAGAAGTTATACTTCTTTGGCATTATTAAAAATAGTTTGGCTTTGTTCCACCTCCAGTTTTTGATGTTTCACAGCGATAAGATGACAACTCTTTTTTTGTATTCAATTTAGTGCACTTACACTGATTCATCAATTGTTTTTTGTCTCTTGTCCTTATATTTGCGAGAGAAAAATTACATGTTTTGATTAAACAATGTGGTAATTTTTTTAATCAAAACATTACTCGATAATAATAATACAAACTGATAGTTAACCTCAATTGTAATGAAGCACTTAGGAAGGTTGATGAGCACAGTTTTTTCACAAATATTAATTAGTATTGGTTTAAATATTCAATTTAAATCACTTCTGATTATATATAATTCAAAAAGCATTGCTAAATTTTTTTGAAAAAATAATTAAAACTCCTTTATTTGTTTAAAAGGTAAATGACAAATGTCATTATGGTCATTCAAAATTCTTGGCATACGAACTTCACGCATATTCTATTTCTTTTTACTTGTAGATTGTCTTATTCCTATCTCGCTCGCGCACGCTATAATCACACTCCTAATTTTGTGTCACAGGTGCGCGCGCATCGTAAAATTTCACTCTCATAAATTTTTCATAACGCGCCTAAAGAAGTATAACTTCAAAAAGTCTTGCTTTATGTCAGTCCCTTGTCTTCTTCTTGTAGTGCCTCTCCACTACTGGAGGTTGGCGTTCAGCTCGTCATACTTCTTCGCCTAGCGCATCAGCTGTTCTACGCTGGACACTCCCGTCCATTCTCTGATATTGTGGAGCCACGACTTCCTCCTTCTGCCAGCGCGTCTTATCCCCTCGACCTTGCCCATCATGATGACTTGAAGAAGTCGGTACCGTTCGTGTCGAAGCACATGTTAATGTTTACAATAATAATGTAATGTGTACAATAATAATGTATAATAATATATACTATAATGTATATAATAATATAATATTTTATCTTTTACTCGTAAATGTCGTACGTAGTTGTTTTCTTAAGTAGGCGTGTGTATTGTTATGCATGGAATAAGGAAATACTTACCGCATTGGGGTGACCCGCGAAGGCAACTTATTTGGTTAAATAAACTTAGGCTTAAAGAAGCTTATTTTCATTAAAAACATACATGTCACCTACATGAGAAATAATTTAGATAAATGTCTAAACTTGGTGTAAGTCCCATGTTTCAAAATCAGTAAATGCTTCTAAATTTATTTTTACTGCCAATTCAAGGGCGTAGGGTGGGCGAGAAAAACTGGCACTAAACTCTTCGCAACTCTAATTGCTTATATTTTTTGTATATGTATAAGGTAATAAAGTGTAAATAAATAAAAAATTGCTGTTTTGATTTACAAATTGTTTCTAAGGATTTGCACTATCTAAAAGCAGTAGTTAATATATCAGAAATTGTCATGGCACCCTGTTACCGCGTGACCAACTCGCCCAGACAATGCATTAAGGTTGAAATCGTAAATATATAGACACAGATATATAATTTTCACTAATATTCCTGTACTAACAACTCAAACTTTGTTGTCGTCTTCCGGCTCCGCATACAACATACTTAAAGACTGTGTCGCAGAATGTGGGACAAGTTTTGAATTTACAGTTGTTAGTGCTAAGGACATTCTAGATGCATTTAAAGATTTAGAAGTAAAAAAGTCCACCGATGTTTGGGGGTTGTCAGTTCAAATAATATCCTCAATAATTGAATGTATTTCCCCATTTCTGGCAATTGTGTTCAATTCTTGTGTCGCATCTGGTGTGTTTCCGGACTTAATGAAGTTAAGCAAGGTGATTCCACTCTTCAAATCTGGTAGTACAACCGATCCTACGAATTTTCGCCCTATCTCAATTTTGCCTACACTGAGCAAAATTTTTGAGAAAATAATTTTAAAGCAAATGCTAAAGCATTTTAACAGACAGAATCTTTTTCATTCCAAACAATTTGGATTTACTAAGGGTCGGTCTACTGCTGATGCAGGTGTGGAACTACTCAAAAATGTATTCGAGGCTTGGGAGGAATTCACAGGATGCTTTAGGCATATCTGTGACTTGTCCAAAGCTTTTGACTGTGTTTGCCATGACACACTTATCAAGAAACTACACCACTATGGCATTAGAAATAAGGCTCTTAGACTTCTCAGTTCATATTTAGACAATAGAATACAAAGTGTAGATATTAATGGCAAAAAATCAAGGATCTGTGGTAACTATGGGTGTTCCGCAGGGTTCAATTCTAGGTCCCTTCTTATTCCTTATCTATATCAATGATTTACCTTTTTGTGTAAGGGATGATTACAAAATCCTATATTTGCGGATGACACTTCACTTGTTTTTAAAGTAAGCGTCAACTTGAAAATTTTGACCAAGTTAATTTGGCACTATCTAAGGTTGTCCATTGGTTTAATGTTAATAATTGCTTTTGAACTAAGTAAAACTAAATTAATAAAATTTTCTACGCCTAAGTAGGCAGTAGCACCAATGTACAACTGATGGAGTAGAGTTGGACCCTGTTGAGTCAACTGTTTTTCTTGGCATTACTGTTGACGCCAAACTACAGTGGGGCCCACACATTAACAAATTGTCTGGAAGGCTCAGTTCAGCTGCTTATGCTGTAAGGAAAATTAGACAAATTCTGATGTGGATACAGCCAGAATTGTTTATTTCAGTTATTTTCATAGTTGATGACGTACGGCATTCTCCTTTGGGGAAACTGTGCGGATATTAATACAATCTTCTTATTAAAAAAGAGCGTCGCGCTATATATAACCTGGGTCCTAGAGTTTCTCTCCGAGAGAAATTCAAGAGATAAACATTCTGACTGTAACTTCACAATATATTTTTGAAAATTTACTTTATGTTCACAAAAACGAACCTGATTTTGTCAAATTGTCTGATCTTCACTCCCGAAAAAGGAACAAAAATAATTTAACAGTTCATGCTACTCGCCTTCATAGAATAAGCAACTCGTTCATGGGTCAATGTATACGCTTTTACAATAAACTTCCTATGGATTCGTAAACTTCCCCTTAAGAAATTTAATTTTTTTATTAAATCAAAATTATTAACTAAAGGATTTACAGGATATCCGATTATTTAAATGATAGAAACGCCTGGGATTGAGCTGCTTCGCTTATACAGCTATCGCTTGTGTTTTTTTAAGCTGTCTTTCACTTTTTTTTTTTTTGCAGTTGTAATATTTACAATCTGACAGTTTGTGTTTTGCATATGCATTTTATTTTATTCTATTGAATGTTTGTGCTTAGTGCATATTCATTTTTTTAATTTTTTTTTTTCTACATTACTGACATGTTTTGTGTTAGTGCATATTCATTTTTCTTTTTCTCACTGCATGTTTTGTGCTTTTGCATACAATTTACACTTTGACATGCCAAGTGAATTGTTTTATTACGATTATTTCAATTTCATTATTTTTTCCTTGCTTTAAGTACACCTTAAAAATACATTTTGTATCCATTGTAAGTGTAAACATTATGCGGGTAATCATAAACTCTTTTGCTTGATTTATAATTTGATACATTTTAGTAAGTTATTTTGGGCTGGCGAGTGAGTTGTTGCCCCACATATTTGGTGCCACTAGCGGTATTGTGTACCGGGTGCAGCTCCCTCAAAATGGTTGAGGATGAGCTATTCGGGGCATGTTGCCGTCTGTGGCACAGGTTGCTCAGATCGATCTGGTTCTTTCTTCCAAAGACCAGTCCAGTAATACTCTGCATTTGTTTACACCAATTTATTAATTTATTATTGTATTATCTGGACTATAAAGAGACTAAGACCCCGAGTTTGTTTCGACATTTCTTCTCAGGGAGTCAGTTAGGAAATGTCGACTTCATCAGCTAGGATGACATTGTAAAAGTGATTTATATAGTCCTACTTGCAAGAATAAACTATTTCATTTCATTTCATATCTGTGTCTATATATATATATATATAT